GGATAAAAGCAGCACACAAGGGTTAAGTTCAGCACTCAAACTACACAACAAAATCGATTTTATGAGCACACCATCAGACATTTTACAAAGGGGTTTACCAACCTGCTCGATAACCACACGCTTTCCGTGATAGTCCAGCCAGATTGGCACTTCAGAGGTAAAACGAAACTCTCTGAGAAAGACAGAGCAAGAGAGTATGTTATTTATGATTTCCACCTTTGATAAATGGGTAAATGTGATGAGGTTTGTTCTTAGCTCATCTACCTGAAATAGATGGGTTGGTCGGAGGAGGACGAGGAGCCGGCGGAGGATGAGCTCTGCTCACTGTAAGTTGTTTCTACAGAAGCAGCGAGATCATGACCCAATGCAGAGGCAGGATCTGTGTCGTCTGGAGCCTTCTGAGAAGCGTCAGTCCTCACTGGGGTCACACAATTTAAAGTTAAAATAAATAAATGTGTACAATAATGAGCTACATTTTATTTAATTTATCACATAGGGATAGGGCTGCATAGTATATCATTTCAGCATCAATATCGCAATGTTAACATCTGTTATAGTCACATTGCATGGTGGTCAATTTTGAGTCATGATTAGAGTTGAACATCACCAAAAATCAGAACATGTGATTTGTGGATTCTTCCTTGTTTATCGATAATATAGTAAAAGTTAATGATTTGCATGTGATATTAAAAGGATAGTACACCCAAAAAATGTAATTCTGTCATCATTTACTCACACTTGACTTGTTCCAAACCAGTATAAGTTGTTTTAATCTATTAAACATAAAGGAAGATACTTTGAAGAATGTTGGAAACCTGTAACGATTGACATCCATGGTAGGAAAATCAAATACTATAAATTTCAATGGTTACAAGTTTCCAACATTCTTCTTTTGTGTAAAACAGAATTTAAAAAACTGGTTTGAAACAAGTCAAGGGTGAATAAACAATGACGAGGTTTTTATTTTTGGGTGAACTATCACTATAAAAGGTTTATACAAGTTTCACAAAATCCCATTTAATACTTTTAAAGCCCTTTTCAGGAGAATTGCGAATGACATTTCAGACTTACGAAGTATGCTATCCATCTCAGATACAGAAAAGCTAGTCCATGCTTTTATGACTTCTAGGCTGGATTACTGTAATGCTCTGTTTGCTGGCTGCCCAGCATCCTCTATTAAAAAAACTTTAGCTAGTACATAATGCGGCTGCCAGAGTTCTTACCAGGTCTAGAAAATATGATCAAATCACCCCAATTTTATCCTCCCTACACTGGCTGCCTGTTAAGCCAACCCGCTCTTTAAGATCTCAAAACTTAGCCAAAACTACCTAGAATAGCAAAGTCGAGTAAAGGTATCTCATTTATGGCTCCTAAACACTGGAATAGCCTTTCTGATAACGTCCGAGGCTCAGACACATTCTCGCAGTTCAAAACTAGATTTAAGACCTATCTGTTTAGTAAAGCTTACACCCAGTGCATCACTTAGTGATATGATACATAAATGTGCTCCACATCATTTATATACACTATGAACAGCAGCTACGGTAATTACTCTATTTATTCTCTATTTACACCTGAGGATACTCATCCCGAGGACCTCAGACCATGCAGCGCCAGTGATTCGATCCAAGACCAGCGAAGAGATGATCCCAAGATTTGCATAACTTCCACCACTTTTGACACTCATAAATTATCATAAAAGTCATTGTTCTGCACGTAGTAGGAGGTTTGCTGAAGGTGCAGCTGACAGGAAAGTTTGCGTTTAAGCTTTGCACTCACACTACAAGCGTACTGCGCCAAAGTCCAATCGAACTGCGCTCTGGCCTAGTGTAAGGCTATGTTCACTCTGCAGGCAAATGTGGCACGAATCTGATTTTTTTCCCCCTCATGTGACTCTGGTGATGACAGTGTAAACAGCCCAAACCACATGGAATCTGATCTTTTCAGGTCAGATCTGTGCCACTTTCATATGTGGTCTTAAATCAGACACAGATCTGATGTTTTGCAATGCGACCGCAGTGCAGTGGCGTAGCGGACGGGCCCGCACCGCGGGGGGGCCCCGCGTGATTAGGGGGCCCCATTTCGTCGCGATTTTCAATTATTGAAAATTCATGAACCGCAATAATCAAACTCTTGGGAACAACTGTGGTCGGTACCAAAGTTCACAGGTCTGTGTTCTCTGAACACCTCTCAAGCGGTGGACTACTTCATTCTGATTGCTTGCCGCCGAACCGCGTCATAGCCAATGAAGACGCGCCGCTGTTTCTCGCCACCGGTTCTCGTTGAAATATGAATTACTTCTGGCTACTTTGACGCCCTCGCCGCTTTCGGGTTGTGTTCGCTTCTTAGTTTGTGAAGGATTCCCCGCGTTGTCGATCCACCCCGCCTATTTTTCCCGCTCCTCAATTTGTGACATAGATATATATATACACTAGATATCGCATAGGGACCCTGAGCATGCGTCTAAAGCGCCGCCACATTGGTACAATGCTCCCAGGACAAATGTCATTTAACCGCACTAGTCAGGACAGTGTTATTACGTGAAGATGCGGAACTTTAGCGCTGTCTACGGGTGTAGTAATGAGCAAACAAAGAAAACAATGGAAGAACACTTCATAGGTAAGATTAAGTTTTTTTTATGTTTTTGTATGTTCTAAAATCTGTGCTAATCAGGTAACGTCATTGATGATAATACAGTCACTTACTGCATTCATTATAAGGCAAAGTAGCTCCAACTCGCACTAAACACTCGGCTTATGCTAGTTTTGTTGAATAAAATCAGCAAACAATGCAAAAGAAATATGACAACGAGATGCTGCGCTGCCAGAAACTTGTATTATTGTCGGCTAACGTTAGTGAAAGAGTCGTTCGGGGGATTCATTCACAAGCAAATCGCTCCCTCCGTCAGAATGAGAAGTGAAAGCAGGAGAGGAGCTGTGTTTCAGGACACGGATTATATTAAATTTAACAGGGAGGGTGAAAAGTACATTTCTGTACACACAAACACAAGCTTTCTGTCAGGAATGCCCGTGCGATCAGTGATCCATCAATGTAGAAAAGTGATGTAAAATTATAATTTTCATTAAAAAAATTGCATACTAACATCCAGGAAAACTCCCGATCATAGATATATGTGTATATCTCTGTATAAGCTCACCCCCCCGGCCTGCCTTCGACAGGGGGCCCCGTCGGTGATCCCTGCAGGGGGGCCTCCGCATTTTGCGCTACGCCACTGCCGCAGTGTGAATGGTTATGTCGGATTTCATGTGACTTTTACATTATCTTTAAGCGACATGCGTCATCATTCTGTGCAGCAAACATCATCTACCCCTCAGCAGCACAGTAGAATGGCACACAGGGCGATTACTGTAACACAGAAAGTTGGTTGTTCATGTTGAAAAAGATTTTGAAGGCAAAACTGGTGCTTGTTAACTAATCTGGTTAACGATTGAGGCACGGGTTGATCGAAAAGCCGAAAAGCGTCGTGGGTGTTGTGGATAGGGGATTCGGGTTTTAAGGAGGAAGAACTTTCTTTCCGAGAGAAAAAAGGGCAGGTGCTCGAGCACCCAAAACCGCCCTTCTGCACGTGTCTGCTGTTTATAATGAAGTCAAATTAAATAACTCCGCAAACGGAGATAAACCAACTCCGCCTTCACAGTTCAGTCTGCGGCTGCTCATTAACCCTTGATGAGTTCACTACACCGGTGATCAGAGCGCCACGCACAGCGCTTGTCATAAATCACAAACGATCAGTGTTTTTATCACAGGAGACTTATTTTAGGTCTCAAATGTGGAAATACACATTAGTATTTACAGTTCATGAATTACACCACGATTGTCTGTAAAAAGGGTAATAATCATATAAGCATGATCATATAAGCAATGTGCTTACTCATACAGCACAAACGTCTGCATAATTAGACATTTTGTGCTCTCCTTAATGCTCTTTTGCGCATGCGGGTCAGTTTAGGACCATGATCTGTTCACACTGCAAATCTGATATTGGCCACATTTATAAGAGCACTGTGAACAGCCATGCAAAAAAAATCAGATCTGAAAAAAATCTGATTTGAGCACTAAGCCTGGCAGTGTGATAGTAGCCTAAGTGCACCCTAAAGGTTTTTAAGACCTTACAAGTGAAGTCACCTCACAGCAAGAAGAAGGTAGCTGGTTCGAGTTCACGTTTCTGTGTGGAGTTTGCATGTTCTCCCTGTGTTGGTGTGGGTTTCCTCTGGGTGCTCTGGTTTCCCCCACAGTACAAAGATATGCACCATAGGTAAATTGGATGAAATAAATAAACTAAGTTTATGTGAATGCGAGAGTGTGAATAGATGCTTCCCAGTACTGGGTTGCGGCTGGAAGGGCATCTGCTGCATAAAACAGATGCCGGAATAGTTGGCGGTTTATTCGGCTGTGTCAATCTCTGGTAGATAAAGGACTAAGCTGAAAGAAAATGATTAAATGAAGAGCCAGGCAGCGCGATGGCGCAGTGGGTAGCACTGTCGCCTCACAGCAAGAAGGTCGCTGGTTCGAGCCTGGGCTGGGTCAGTTGGCATTTCTGTGTGGAGTTTACATGTTCTCCTCGTGTTCGCATGGGTTTTCTCCGGCTGCTCCAGTTTACCTCACAAGTCACCAAACACATGCTGTAGATGAATTGTCCATAGTGTATGTGTGTGAATGAGAGTGTATGAGTGTTTCCCAGTAATTGGTTGCAGCTGAAAGGGCATCCGCTGCATAAAATATAGCTAAATAAGTTGGCGGTTCATTCCTCTGTGGCGAACTCTGAATAACGAAGGGGCTAAGCCAAAAAGAAAATGAATGAATGAATGAATGAATGAATGAATGAATGGATGAATGAATGAATGAATGAATGAATGAATGAATGAATGAGACCCTGCAAAGGCATCTGACTGTGTGAGCAATTAAAATGAGTTTAAAGCATTCAGGTACAAGAAATTTGTAGACTTAACAAAGATGAATTATATTAAATTATGGATACAATGAAGAGCCCAGCTTTTTTTTTTTTTTTTTACATTTGATTAATCTATTTCTGTACCTGTATACAGTTAGACTTTCCGGAAAACCATAAAGAACTATTTATATATTATTTGTAGTTTTGCTCTATTGTATTATTCTATGCTTATAATTTGTTTATTATATGCAGACACACTCCCTGAAAAATCCTTCCAATCAACCTATATGAAAAATTCTTTCCAAAGAAAGCTTTTCAAGACAGCTGGTGAAAATAGATTCCTATCTCAATAAATATCACAGTAAAACAACACAGTCCTACACAGAGAGCAGTCTTACCCTCAGCTGCAGGGTCTACAGGCAGGTATGGAGTAACTCCTGCAGCCATGTTACTGAAAAAGTCCTTCAAGAAGAAAAGGGCATCCTGGGAAACGAAAACAAGCAGGTCTGTGGTTTGTACTGAAAGGAATATGAAACACTGTTTGCCCTACACTGAAAAATAGTTATATAAATGCATACCTGGTCAATGTTGAGTCGCAGTGGTAACAGGCTGATTCTCAGACAGCATTCTGGTCCACCCAGACCTGATTCAGGCATCACCTGCAGCGCTTTCACCGTCAACTACAATAGAGAGTGGAACAGATGAGAACAAAAGCACAACCAATATTGGATAACAAAAGATACAACCACAGAGTTACTGGCTGTGTCCTAAATGGCTGAATTCCCTACTATACAGTATGTGAGAAAGAGTATGTTTTCATAGTATTGGAAAAACAGTATGCGAAAAGTACCCAGATGATCTACTACTTCCGAGATTTTGTAGTATGCATTCAATGGACGCAAGTGTGCAATCACCCTGGGATTTTTAACAACCACAGAGCGTCAGGACCCTCAGTTTCACTTCTCATCTGAAACATGGCACTCACTGAACTGTACAGAGTCCCCTTCACTATACTGGGGCGTTAGAACCCACACAGACCTGAGGCTGAGCGCCCCCTGCTGGCCTCACGAACACCACTTCCGGCAGCAACCTAGCTTTCCCATGTAGTCTCCCATTCTATTCTGGCATATGTTTTATGCAGACACACTACGGTCAATTTAGTTAATCTAATTCACCTAAATCCCATGTCTTTGGACTGCAGGGCAAACCAGAGCACCCGGAGGAAACCTATGCGAACATGGGAAAAACATGCACATATACCAGTGGGACTCGAACCAGCAACCTTCTTGTGTGAGGCGACAGTGCTAACTATTGAGCCACCGTGCTGCCTCTCTAACCATCAGCCAAACTTAACCTCACAATCCCACCATCATCCCTTACCAACTGCTTTTCTGACATTAAATCCTGGCTCACCTCAAACTTCCTGAAATTAAACGATAATAAAACCGAACGTCTTCTCGAACATGCACCTTCAGCATGCACTGGGGCGGTTTGCTGCCGAGTGTAACATGGCTGGGATAAGACTCAGCACTTCCAAGTTGGAGGCCATGGTGCTCCACCATAAAAGGTGGTTTGCCATTTCCAGGTTGGAGGAAAGTACCTACCCTAGGTGTAGGAGTTTAAGTATCTCTAGGTTTTGTTCACGAGTGAGGGAAGGATGGAACTTTATTAACATGTGAAGTGAAAGAAAGGGTGCTGTCGAAGATTGACCCCCCCAGGCTCTTAACCTGAAGGTAGGGGGCGATAACAGAATCATTCATTCATTTATTTTCTGCCGCTTTTCTGAGTTGCTGGGGCAGCAGTCTCAGAAGAGAACCCCAGACTTCCCTCTCCCCAGATACTTCCTCCAGCTCCTCCGGGGGGATCCCGAGGAGTTCCCAGGCCAGCCGAGAGACATAGTCCCTCCAGCGTGTCCTGGGTCTTCCCCGAGGCCTCCTCCCGGTGGGACATGCTTCTAACTCCTCCCTAGGTTGGCTTCTAGGAAGCATCTGAATGCCCGAGCCACCTCAGCTGACTTCTCTCGATGTGGAGGAGCAGCGGCTATACTCCGAGCTTCTCCCGGGTGTCAGAGCTCCTCACCCAATCCATAAGTTTTGCAATTGATTGCCGGAGTAGTGCAGTGGCAGCAGTAATGCGGTCGATGTACCGGTCCGTTGTGGTAAAGAAGAAGATGAGCCGAAAGGCAAAGCTTTCGATTTACCGGTCAATCTACGGTACTTCTTTTATCTATGCTCATGAGCTTTGGGTCATGACCGAAAGGACAAGATCTCGGATATAAGCAGCCAAAATTAGTTCCCCTCGAAGGTGGCAGGGCACACTCTTATGGATTGGGTGAGGAGCTCTGACACCCGGGAGAAGCTCGGAGTATAGCCGCTGCTCCTCCACATCGAGAGAAGTCAGCTGAGGTGGCTCGGGCATTCAGATGCTTCCTTCGGCTGGCCTGGGAACTCCTCGGGATCCCCCCGGAGGAGCTGGAGGAAGTATCTGGGGAGAGGGAAGTCTGGGGTTCTCGACTGAGACTGCTGCTCCAGCAACTCAGAAAAGCGGCAGAAAATAAATGAATGAATGATTCTGTTATCGCCCCCTACCTTCAGGTTAAAAGCCTGGGGGGGTCAATCTTCGACAGCACCCTTTCTTTCACTTCACATGTTAATAAAGTCACCCAGTCTGCTTATTTCCACCTTCCAACTGATATTCTTGTTCATAGTCCAATCACATCCTGTTTAGACTACTGCTATTCCCTTCTTTTTGCACTTGTAACATATTTATTTTATAGTCTATGACTATCCTTGCTTTCATGTACGCTGACCTTGAGTGTCAAGAAAGGCGCCTTTAAATAAAATGCATCATTATAGTCACAATCATACTATACAGAACATACTTTTCAAATGGTCGTGTAGTAAATTCAAACGTAGTATCTATACGAGTAGTGGGGGATTTTAAGTGCACCCATTGTTTTTATTTTGAATCCCTCACTTTAACTCACCATGTTGGAGTGGGCTCTACGTGGCATGCTCTCACTGGTGTAAAGGTACAGGAACTTGTTGATCTGAGAGGAAGCCAGACGGTCTCGCACCTCCAGCTCCTGAACGATAAACACCTGGCGGGAGATAGGCTGCTCTCCGAGACCTGGCGATTCTGTATCCGGACCTGCAGCAGAAGGCGTGACCACCGGGTACATCTCATGCTGGAAACTGACCTGAAGAAAAAGAATGAACTGAAAAAAAAGCTTTCTAAAACTAAAGGCTCCGACACACCTGGACGCTTTTTGGTTGTGTTTATCGTCAGCGTTTTACGAGACGTTTTTCCGTATTTAAACCCAAGAGATTTTCACTGGCGTCAAGCAGAAGAGGATGCAAAATCACTCCTTGACGTTAGATGGCGCTACACAACTTTAAGCTTCTGACACCTGCTTATAACACAGAAGAAGAGGAAGAGGGGAAGTTCACACGCTTGTTGTTAAAGTTACAACAGCTCCACGTTTATATCGCCTCTGGGCATCATCTTCAATGTGCGCTCATTGACAGTTTTGCGCTTGAGCGCCTCCAAGTGCCGTTTACTGTAACTTCAGCAGCTCCGTGCACAGGAACAAAAGTGCCAATCTGATTGGTGGAGAAGGTTTTGACGTGGCGCTTCAAAACAAAAAAAATGAGCATGAGGCGTTTTTTTTTTTTTAATTATGCTTTTGCGGCTGCCGTTTTGCGCGTTGGTGTGCACGATCACATTGAAACCTTTTATTTAGTCACGAGCCGTTGAACGCAAGCAAAAAACGTCTCAGTGTGCATGGACCTTAAGGTTTAAACTTTAAGCCAAATATCTTTGCAATATACCTTTGTCAGTTGTATCTCCATGAGCAGTGTGTGTTGACGGCCACTTCCTCCAACCCACCGCCAGGAGTTCTGGGGCCGCGAGGGACCTGCTGAACGGGATGGAGAACCACGAGCTCCGGGGGCAGCAGTACGAACTCTGATAGACAAGAAAATCATACATCAAAGAGTCATGAACCCAGAAAATACGCACAGTCGTGTTTCACTTTCAACATAAAAAGCAAAGTTGAACAATGCTGTGCACTAATGGTCAGAGAGTTGGACTTATAATCATATTATTTAAAAATGTGTGCATTTACTTATTTCAGTGTGCAGAGCTCTGTATTATTCAGATTGTAGGTGTAATAGTATACAGTTAAAGACAAAATAATTAGCCCTGCTGTGAATTTCTTATTCTTTTTCAAATATTTCCCCAAATGATGTTTAACAGAGCAAGGAATTTTTCACAGCATGTCTGATAATATTTCTTCTTCTGGAGAAAGTCTTTTTATTTTATTTTGGCTAAAATAAATCAGTTTTTAAGTTTTTAAAAAACATTTTAAGGTCAATATTATTAGCCCGCTTCAGCTATATATATGCATTTGATTGTCTACAGAACAAACCACTGTTACACAACAGCCTAACAAACAACTGCCTAATTACCCTAACTTGCCCAATTAACCTAGTTAAATGTCACTTTAAGCTGAATACTAGTATCTTGAAAAATATCTAGTCAAATATTATGTACTGTAATCATGGAAAAGATCAAATAAATCTGCTATTAGAAATTAGTTATTAAAACTATTATGTTTAGACACGCGTTGAAAAACATTTTCATTCCGCTAAACAGAAATTGTGGGAAAAATATACAGGGGGGATAATAATTCAGGAGGGCTAATAATTCTAATAATAATTCTAATAATAAGTCATTTTTCCTGATATACTTTAAATGTAAATCAAGGAATTACATTTTTTTATTAAATATTAGCTAACATTGCAGTTAGACAAGTCGAAAAATATAAATGGAAAGTCCAATGGAATGTAAAAAATGCAATCGTTGTCGAATGTCCAACGACAAGGGGTTTTGGGTGAGTAAATACAGTGGTGGAATTAAGTATTGAACATGTCTTGTTTTTACTTGGGAATAATATTTTTGAAGGAGCTGTTGACATGGAATTGAACCAGACGTCTCTCAAATAAGGGTCACATGCATTGCCCATGTGTGAGTTTTTCACAAACTTCAACATGGTTCTGTTGGTCTTGTCTATCAGTTTTTATTTAGTATTTTCTATTGGATTTAGGTCAGGTGATTGGCTGGGCCATTCCACAGCTTGCTTTTCTTTCTCTGAAAGCATTTGAGAGTTTCCTTGGCTGTGTTTTGGATCATTGTCTTGCTGAAATGTCCACCCTGGTTTCATCTTCATCATCCTGCTAATGTAGATGTTGGACTGAAGCAGTGAATATTAATTTACAATGACGAAGGTCAGAGGATTGCTGAAAAACTACTGAGAGATTTCAGCTGCTGTCTGGGCTTTCACCGCCTTTCTACACCTCCCTTTCTTCATGTGTTCAATACTTTTTCCCTGCTTTATTTCATTTTATTACACAACACTTCATTTGTAAACTAATTAGATTTGTTTTCTTTTCATACATGGATTTTTTTATTACCAACATCTGGTAAAAGTCCACGGCACCTTTAGAAATATGTTCAATACTTATTTCCCCCACTGTAAATAGTAACTTTTTATTAAATTTATTACAGTTACCTATTTATTAAATTTTTGGAAAACTACACTTTAAAGGTTTAACAGAAACAAACTGGAAGGGAGAGAGGGAATATGTAGGACAGAATTTACTCCCCATCCATACTTTAACCTATAGTTTTCCCAGAGCTTCCGCTGGACTTACTTATGGCTGTGTGGTGTGTGGGCTGAGCTGGGTTTGCCACCAAAGTCTTTGCCACCATACAGATGCCAGACGACAGACACTTCACGGAGCACCACTCTGTTCTGAGGCACTGGAAAGCGGGTTGGGGCACGCAGCAGATCTGAACTGCCCCGCGGCCAGGAGTAATATCCATCCCGCACCTTGATAGGGCCCTGGGAGAGAACAGTCACTACAGGCTCACCGTCTCTAGGCTTTTACAAAGAAAGAGAGAGAAAGACGATTAATAACATCAGTGATGCTCTTACAAACACCACACACAATAGACATGCACATGCACACCATGGATTCTAAGTTGGTATAAATTAAAGTACACATGCAATCATTTGATTTTGTTAGCTCATATTGCTATTTTTTGTGGTGATCAATTCATCTGTGCATGTCATTAAGAAAAACAAAATAGTTTGCCCTTCTCTGAAAATGCACTTCCTGAAAATCCACTCTCTCCAAACCCTTTCCTGATTTTTCTGAATGAATCCAAAAAACAAGCCATGAACACTGTTTTCTCATTTAATATTCAATTTCCCTAGGAACTGCGTCACAATACAAAAACAGCAGGTTCCGATTGATGAGGACTTTAAGCCTAAATTGTTGATTGTTAAATTTACTGTTTATTACTATTGTTTTATCCTAATATTTTGAATGCTAAATATACTACTAAATATTCTTTTTATCATCATCACTACTACTATGTCATTTGTCATTTCAAATGTTCTGTTTCATGTAAACATCACAAATGCTTTGAGATTACAGTTGAAGTCAGAATTATTAGACCCCCCCCCTTCAATTTTTTATTTCTTTTTAAATATTTCCCAAATGATGTTTAACAGAGCAAGGAAATTTTCACAGTATGTCTGATAATATTTTTTCTTCTGGAGAAAGTCTTATTTGTTTTATTTTGGCGAGAATAAAAGCAGTTTTTTAATTTTTTAAAAACCATTTTAAGGTCAAAATTTTTACACCCTTTAAGCTATATATTTTTTTGATAGTCTACAGAACAAACCGTCGCTATATAATAACTTTCCTAATTACCCTGACACGCCAAGTTAACCTAATTAACCTAGTTAAGCCTCTAAATGTCTCTTTAAGCTGTATAGAAGTGTCTTGAAAAATATCTAGTCAAATATTATTTACTGTCATCATGGCAAAGATAAAATGAACAGGGGGCTTAATAATTCTGACTTTAACTGTAGGTAACACTTGACATGCCAATAAAAGAAAGTATGAATTGAATTAGAGAGAGAGTCTGCAGTCTCTTTTTAAATATTTAGTCAATAATTATGATTTTTTAAAGACAAGTTTGAATTAATGTTTCAATACCACGTATTCATTTCAGTGCATTTACATTATTCAATGTTTTTAAACAATAAGGAATGATATCACTCATTTTTTTTTAAACTAGCCTATCACCACATACTGGCATAAAGTAACAATGTATGTTAATTTATGTACTCTACTCATGTATTTTGCAGTTTATAAATGCAAATAATAATATAATAAAATATTAATAAAATATGCTATAATATGTCCAAAGCGCAGGGCACAAAAGCATTAAGGACATGTCCAAATCCACTTTTGCTATTTTAAGGAAAAAATCCGCTCGGCGCATGGTCTAACAGGGTTGTGCTTATTCTCTTAATGAGTTATGGGTGTGTTTTGAGCATATTGTGCATTAAATTAAATTTCCTTTAAGAGTCAGTTATGTCGTGGCATTTGCTATTTACATAGCGGACTTTGTAAGTGGAAAAACTGAACAATTCACTAGCAAGAAAACAGTTAAACAGATCATCTGCAGTGCGAGGAAAAAAGAACAAGCCTCCTCCATTCGGCCTCTTTCCTTTCTTTTTACGTTACTTTTTACTTTACTCCTTTACTTTTCGTGGAGTGATTTTCCACCGTTTCCTTACTCCCACTAGCCTACACATTTCATTTCGTTTCAAGATTTGTTTCAAAACTATTTCTAAATTTAGTTCTAATTTCTAGCAACGAATAAATGAACAATAGTAATGAAGTCTAGACAAAAAACTGAGTTATATCCAAACACGCGTCTTATTATTATGCCCCATATGGTGATGCAGATGTCTCCAAAACCTGACAGATCTAAACATGTTTTAATTAAAACGAATATAAATATGCATATAATATATAATACTACTACTAATAATAACATTATACAAATGCAATAATAATCATGAATAAACTGAAAAAGCCCCCCGAGATGAAGGAGGGATGTAGGCAGTGGGTTTTAATAATTCTATAGAAAATAATAATTTTTGTAACATTTTAATCCTTCTTTTTCAGTTTCTCAAAATAGCAACGCACCAGTGATGCGCCTTAACACACCTCCTTTTTAGACCAGCACACCCATGAGTCCAGAAAATGGCACAAATGGATTTGCTATTTAAACAACGTGGCGCAAAATGTGAAAATTGAGATTGTGCTGGCCTGAAAATAGCAACAAATCGCTCTAAACACGTCTTGTGCATACCTGCCCGGGAGTCTCCCGTATTTCAGACCCATCTCTCATTTTGTTCTGTCTCCCTGAAAACTCCTGGAATTTTCACCCCAGCAACCCCTCCTACAACCGGTCCACAGTCTTAAGTTTGCGTAACCACCTACCCCCTGCTCCTCAGTCTTCAGTTTGTGCCACAAATCTTTGGACACTGGGGAAAACCGAAGCACCTGAAGGAAACCTACGTGTATGCAAGGAGAACATGCAAACTCCGCACAGAAATGCCAACTGACCCAGCCGAGGCTCAAACCAGCACACTTCTTGCTGTGAGGCGACAGCACTACCTACTGCACCACTATGTCGCCTAATTGTTTTTAAATAATTTTTACATTTTTTTTTAAATGGAAGCATAGCTATTGACTATACAGGTCAAAAATAATTTATTTTAGACAGAGTTGGTGGATGTCTGAAATGAGACATTTTAAAAAATCCAACACTGATACATACCGGTATGCCCATCCCAGGAGCCTCTAGGATGCAGAAGTCATCGTTGTCGGTGGAACATTCCGAGCCTTCGTCTGACATCATATCCGCATGAGCCTCCATAGCGGTGCTCACCAGTCCATCAATATCAGACTCCTCCCCTTCTAGAACAGAGGGGCGGAGCTTGGGGGCTTCATCCGGGAACAGATAGACTGAGACAGGTGACGCTCGACGGATGGACGGAGAACCTGCTCATCAAATACACATGCATATATAAACATTAATCATGCTGGGTTCTACACAATCAAATTTGTGTTGGGACAACATGAAGGAATTAAGTTCACTTATTGGTTTTTACAAATTGAAGCGGATTAAACATAAAACAATTAAGTTGTCCCAAAATAAAACTCAAGAATTGTGTTGTTTTAGCTCATTTTAAATAAGCAGTTTAACCAAACAGCAAACTTATTTTTTTGAGTGTATTCTGTTCAGGGCTGGCTTAATACGCTTTGTTTTTAAGGGAACTGATTTTTTTTTTAAAATTGGTGTTTAACAAGACAATACATCATAGTATACCATACAACAAAGGAAAAAATACAGATTGTCTTATTTTTCTTATTTTCCCACTATCCCCTTAAAATAAAATTATTTAAATGTATGAAATAAAAACAAACATATCCTCTTAAAGAAATAATAATAATAATAATACATTTAAAATAAAATACAAAAATTAAAATAAATTAAAAAATATATATATAATAATAAATGACCAAGTTTATGATAAGAGCTAAAAAAAATAATAATAATAACAATAAATTTTTTTTAAAAAATTTAAATTAAACATCAGTGGTTTAATATGACTCTATTAATAAGCACCGTCATCGATGAAAACATCACACTTGTTTTTATCCGCTCTGTCTTGTTTCCAGGCAGACTGGTTACGATTGCTGATTGTTCAACACTCAACTGCAATAAATCCTCTTTATTTAAACCAGTCAGAGGACAACTTCAAATCTGCTGTGTGTTTCCAGAAAAAACGAGCCATATGCATCAGACGTTTAGCCACAAGTTTTTGGCTGGTCATAGTACTTTCTTCCTATTATGGATGGCAATATTTTGCCTCATTTTAAACAGAAGAAAGAAATTCATAGCCGTTTAAAATCTAAAATATAGCTGAAAATATATTTGAACATACATATTTATGTACATATAATTCCAATGACTGAAAAATAAATAAATAAATAAATAAATATATAATTTATTATATATTTATAATTTATATTTTATATAAAGCATTAATAATTGTTAAAAACTAAAATAAAATAATTAAAAATTTATAAATGAATATAAATATTTACAAACACTTTAAATATATATAGAATATATTTTTTAATAAAAATAAATAAATGTAATATAACAATATATAATATGTTGCATATAAAGGGCGACAGTGGGTAGCAGAATCGCCCCACAGCAAGAAGGTAATTGATTAGAGCCTCGGCTGGGTTAGTTAGCATTTCTGTGTGTAGTTTGCATGTTCTCCCTGTGTTCGCGTGGGTTGCTCTGGTTTCCCCCACATGTCCAAAGACATGCGCTGTAGGTAAATTGAAAAAGCTAAATTTTCCGTAGTGTATGAGTGTGAATGAGTGCATTTGGGTGTTTCCCAGTGATGGGTTGCAGCTTGAAGGGCATAAGCTGCGTAAAACATATGCTGGATAAGCTGGCAGTTCATTCCGTTGTGGCGACCTCAGATTAATAAAGGGACTAACTCAGAAAGAAAATGAATAAATAAATGTTGCAGATATGACATATTTTATATATGTAAAATCCAAAAATGAATTTGTATGCCATATATGTTCTTTGCATAAATTGCCATATTGTCACCTTAGAATTATAAGGTTCTATCTGCCATTTTTGTCAAAATTAAGTTATTGGCATATTCTTATTAAATGACAACTTATTTACATAATGGAATGTTTTTTTTATAAGTAAACTATTGCTTGGATCAATAAAGAACTGCCAAAAATCTAACCAGAATCTTGGGTGTCTTCTTGTAGAATTCTCTCGGTGTCAATCAAAGCATCTGTGAGGTCGTATTGGTTAATCTCTGCAGTCTCGGCTGGTGGGCAGGACGGAAGGGAGGCGGGACTTTCTGACAGCTAAAGCACAGAACTTTTTGAGTTGAATATAAACAAGGATAAAAAAGCTGCACAACGATTTTAAAAGACAGCTCTTACCGGAAGTTTCTGACCGGCAATTTCTGTGGGGGACGTGTGGCGAGGAGGAGGGTGTAGATCACCTTGTGAAACCAGGTACTGCAGCATGTTAACCAGAGCAGCGCACGAGTCCGCACAGGTGTGTACGTGAACCACATTATTAGAACACCGCAGCTCAAACAGTGGCTGAGTCTGGAAATGTTCATTAAGAAAGGAAGATAGTTAATAACAAGGAGAGAAAGAATGATGGACAGCAACAAAATCTGGCTAACATTAATTTAAAAACCCATTTATGTTAATACGTTTATGTTCATTGATAAAGATTTGACAATGACATGCTTATTACAAAAAATATATGGGTTTCACCTAGCAGTTTAATTTAAAAATAGTTCAAAGAGTTAAGTTAAACTTTTTCAACACAACATTGCAATATCTTTTTTTACTTTATTAATCTTTATTTTATTTGTTTATTGAATTACTGATTATTTATTAAAAAAACAAACCAAAAACATTGTTTATTATTATAAAACTGTAACTTATTTAAATAATTATTTATATATTCACACATTAGCTTTCCTGACATGGTTCATCATACAATTAGTACCTAGATATATATCTATCTATATATATACATACATATACATAGTAGTGCTGTCAAAATTAGTGCGTTAACGCATGCGATTAATTTGAAATAATTAACGCGTTAAAAAAATTTAAATTCAACAGGTCTAATTTGCAGTGTTCAACATGCAAAGAAATATAGATAAGACCAAGTAAGCACTTTTTGAAGGCAAGTTTCAGTTTAAAACAAATAAAGTCGCATCACCAGGCTCTCCAGCATTTTCTCCAAAGTTTCATGCAATTCTCAGGTGTTCCATTTTTAACTTTTGACTTTTGTTTTAATGGATAGCGAACGAAAAAAAACCCTCTGCATTTCGTGACTTGGTGTTCCTTTAAGGTAATCAAAAATCACTGTTTACATGGTAGACTTTTAATAAGAGTATTATCTTAATCATAATAAAATCAGAGTATTGGTGTCCATGTAAATGTACTCAGAAACTGCCAGGTGAAGTCGTGAAGATTTTTGTAAAGCGTCTGCTTCACATTGTGTCAGAAATCTTGTGAAATACAGCCATACTTTAAAACGCTTAGTTTCAGCAAATTTTATTAACGCGATCATGCGTGTTGAATCTGAAGGGAGTCGCTCCGGCTGCCCTGTCCTGTGCGCGTTGTGTGTATGAGTGTGTGTGTCTGTGTGTGTTTCTTAGCAACAAACCTGCCTAAACGTCGTTGTCCGTAGCCCTTAAATCAAAAAGTTACGAACTGCCGTGAGATTGCGTCGCACTCTCAGCTCACATCATTCAAAAGAAAAGGTTCACATTGTCCCCCGATAATGTTAACAGACTGAACTGTTTTAGCAACTGGCTGAATGTAAAGGAGGACTAAGCTAAATTTTTCTACTTTATAATTAATGTTCTCAACTCACAGTAATACACATTTGCAATGAGTGCAATTGTCTGTATTTAATACTTTATTGTTATTATAATTTTCCGATTTCCATATCTGCAATGCCTGTATTTTGGCTTTTTTTTTTTTAGTCCACTTAGAATCCAACTAGGCTATCATTTTGTTTTTTATTGGCATTGATTGTTTTGAAATTCAAATGGCATTAACATGCCTGTGTTTTGATTTCTGTAATAAATATGGCTGTCAAGCCAGGATCTTGATGGTTTATTTTGGGTTTGTTGTTTACACGAAGAAATCTGTGTTACAAGTTAAACAAAAATTCTAATAAACAATTATATTTTGAATTTAAATAGTTATTGTCTTGCAATTACATAAATTTTACATTTGAATAGTCAAAACTACAAGTTTCAGTCTTTTAAATGTGATTAATTAATGTGAGTAAATTAATTAGTAAAAATTAATTAGATTAATTTTTTGCAATTGATTGACAGCACTAATTATACATATATATATATACATATATATATATACATATATATATATATATATAAGAAATAGTGGTCAACTATGCATTTAGCAGCAAAAGATTCAGATAATGTTTGTTTTTTGATCGTGCACCTGCCTTCAAGATTTTCTAGATGAGCGTTTCTGTTTTTTGCAACTATGCATTTACCCATGTAAACCTACATAAAATATTAAACTACAAACACACTGTAAATATATTTCTAAAAAATAATACAATTCAAAATTTTTAAAATTAGCTAGTAACTCTTAACATGAAACTTACCAATTTACTCGAGTCACATCCTTTCCAAGTCGTTATGGCCAGTTCCAGTAAATCAATGTCTAACACGCACACATAGTCTGACACACACACACACAAAAACAATGATGAAAGGAGCCTCAAATTTAGGAAAATGCAGTTATTCTGATATTGAAAGCTATGGTTGTTTAATACCTCGCCTCAAATCCACTGTGTCACTTTCACATTTATCAGACAGGTATAAAGCAGAGTCATCTAAGATAAACCTGAAGTAAGATTTGACAGTTGTTAGGTTCAATCAAAAAATCTCAGCATGACACTTAATAATAATCCCACTACGATCAACAGTACCTGAGGTGAAAGGTTGCGGTGTCTACAATGATGTTGCTGGATAAAGAAAAGGACTCGGCCGTAAACAGAACTCGCAGAGGAAGATAAAGAGGCCTACAGCGGAAAAAAAAACAAAGATAGAAAGTTGACATAATGATGAACCTAGAGTATTTTGAGACTACACCAGACATTGACTGTACCTGTAGTCCACTGCACAGGTGGCCAGGTGAGTGTGGAGAACGGTGATGACGGCAGGCGGGGTGTAGCCTAAAATGTCGTCATCGATGACATCAAGGAAATCAACAATCTGGATTGAAAAAAACACAGCTTTGAAGGGTAACTGAAATTGAAAACCATTCATGGGCTCTTCTACTTACAATTAAAGAGAAATACTTACAAATATGTTTTCAAAAACTATAATTGTAGCTTAAGAATTCTTACAAAAACTGCAAAACAGAATAAACATAAGGCAGACATTCACCACAGATCCCTCCACCGCTTTTAAAGTTCCTACCTGCTCATGCCAGCTATGATTGGTCAACGCCATGTGATGTCGCAAAGTAGCACCATGGAGTCGCAGGGCAACCAGAAACTCCTGCAAAGAAATGACCAAAAACTCAGCACACGTACAGGTGACAAACAACAATCGCCCCGTAATCAACATAGAAGAGGTCAAATTAAGTCAAGACATTTAAACGCATCAATTTTTTAAAAAATGTTTTAAAAAGGCTTTAAAGAAAACCTTTTTTTAAAGCTTTTTATTTATGATTATTATGATTTTATTATTATGAATGTTTTTTCCCACATAATAACCCCCTCCCCAACAATTTAACATCTTACAGATTGGGAAATTGAGAAAAATAGTAATAATATATATTTGATATATCTTTAGTCAGTGTTTCTCAACTGGTGGGTCGCGGAGTGTGTGATCAAAAAAACAACAAAAGTTTAATATTTAAACTTATATGGTACTTTTATTTTTAAATGCGCGTGCCGAAGTATGCTAATGAGACTTTTAATTTGCCAGTAACCTGGGTTAAGCGCTTTTGGCGCACTGCAATGCAAAAACCGGCGCGTTTTAAGGTCTGTTTTCTTTTAAAATCAGCGACCTCCACTGGCTGAGTGATATCCGATATAAAGTGAGCCTCAGATTGTACAAGAGGCACTGCATTAAACTACATTTGCCTATGCCATGTCTTTATAATATGAGCATTTATTTTACGCCAGTATATTTAATGGAGCTTCTGCGCTAGCCCACAGATTCTGACGGGCGCGTGCGAGTATGGCTTAAAACCTCAGTGTGTCATATGTAGTGAGGTGCTTTAACGAGAGAAATGAAACCTAAACTAAAACCACATTTAGAAACCAAACATCCCAGTGGCAAGGAAAAACCTGTGGACTATTTTCTAAGACGACAAAGGCCAAGAAAGCCCACACAAAAGCAGAACAGCAAATAACTGCTGATTATTATAAAATGGTTATGATTGTTTTAATAATTTTACTTCAGTTTGCTGGTTTCTGTTCAGTTCAAGCAGATCAGTGTTAATGTTTTATAAACAGTTCAGTTTAGTTAATGGTAACTTAAAGGGTCACGAAACACCAGAACACATTTTGTGAGCTGTTGACAGTCGTATATGTGTCCCACACTGCTAAAAACACTATTAAGACACCTATATTTCACTAAAAAGTGTAAATTGGTTGTTTTTGCGTTATTTCAAGCAAATTCGTACTTCCGGTTTGAAACGAATTTTTGAAGCTGCGTCACTGTCATGACATAATAGCGTGTATTCCAGTGTGCAGACTGGACGTTTGTGCCAGAGTGTGTCTTATTACGTCTTACAGCCTGCTGCATTAATGCATGAGAAAGGCTTGGTTCAAACCAATCAGCGTGCTCTATTGTGCAACTTCATTATTATTCATTACTGTCATAGTGTTCAGACGGCAGAGACGCCACGTTGTGTTGGCAAAACAAGCTTGAAGTGTTGCTTTTATAGTTTGCTGCAGTTAAGTTTCGTTTTCCTTTTCTCTCTGTGAGAGCTCAGACTCATGTGTGGATTACAGTGTACGCGACGCTCGACAACAATAACTTACGTGTCTAAGGAGGATTATTGTTTACCTGAGAGCTGTTCTCATCTGCAAACGCTGAGATCCGGATTCGCTTGTAGTCTTCTTTTAATAAAGACGCGGCTCTAGTTGCTGTGGATTGTCCTGACTCTACAGATTTGGTAAGTGAGCGACCAGTGCTTTTTGTTTATTCAGTTCGTATTTTATTCGTATCGAAAAACTATTGCACCGAGTGTAAACAAGTTAGCTTTACAACCAAACTATAACCTCATGTAGGATTTTGTGACCGGAATAACACACGCGGCTTTCTGACACTACCTGCCGAGTGCATCTAAGTTTCCGGGAAATGCTGAGTTTTTTTTCTCTCATTCGCCGTGCGGTATCAAACATTGCATGAAAAATACACGCTTAGAGCAGTTCCTCGAATCAAATATCTCGTTTGTGGCGAGGGACATGAATGAATTCCCTGAATGAAAGAGCCAAACTGCAGTTAAAGTCTAAAAATAATTCGACTACAGATGTCCATGTAAACAGTCCCTTTCTCCCCTGTTGGTTGTGTGTTTTGACTCTGAAATTCAGCCCAAATAGACACTCCTACACCAAGCCTCTTTTCTTCCTCCGACACTCCCCCTAAACAGAGCGGGACACGCCCACTTTTCTGACTGAAGAAAAGGTGTGAAAACACTCTGCTGAAACAAGGGGGTTTCATGGCCCTTTAACTTTTCCTTACCCTAACCACTGTTTACAGTATTCGACATTTTTACTCTGTAATTTTTCTAAAATTTGATGCATTTTGTTAAAGGTTAGGGAAGGTTAGATGTAAAGGTTTTTACATCTGTAGTCGAATTATTTGCCAAATTATTAAATGTTGGACTTTAACTGCAGTTTGGCTCTTTCATTCAGGGAATTCATTCATGTCCCTCGCGACAAACGAGATATTTGATTCGAGGAACTGCTGCAAGCGTGTATTTTTCATGCAATGTTTGATACCGCACGGCGAATGAGAGAAAAAAAAACTCTGCATTTCCCGGAAACTTAGATGCACACGACAGGTAGTGTCAGAAAGCCGCGTGTGTTATTCCGTTCACTAAATGCGGTGCTAACATTTCTGCACTCAGTGCAATAGTTAACTTAATTCGATACGAACAAACTGAATAAACAAAGAGCACTGGTCGCTCACTTACCAAATCTGTAGAGACAGGACAATCACCAGCAACTAGAGCCGCGTCTTTATTAAGAGAATACTACAAGCAAATCCAGATTTCAGCGTTTGCAGATGAGAACAGCTCTCAGGTAAACAATAATCCTCCTTAGACACGTAAGTTATTGTTGTCGAGCGTCGCGTACACTGTTAATCCACGCGTGAGTCTGAGCTCTCACAGAGAGAAAATGAAAACGAAACTTAACTGCAGCAAACTATAAAAGCAACACTTCACGCTTGTTTTGCCAACACAACGTGGCGTCTTTGTGGTGTAAACACGGTGACAATAATGAATATTAATGAAGTTGCACAATAGAGCGCGCTGATTGGTTTGACCCAAGCCTTACTCATGCATTAATGCAACACACTGTAAGACGTAATAAGACTCACTCTGGCACAAACGTCCAGTCTGCACACTGGAATACAGGCTATTATGTCATGACCGTGACGCAGCTTCAAAAATTCGTTTCAAACAGGAAGTACAAATTTGCTTGAAATAACGCAAAAACAACCAATTTACACTTTTTAGTGAAATATAGGTGTCCTAATAGTGTTTTTAGCAGTGTGGGACACATATACGACTGTCAACAGCTCAAAAAATGTGTTTTGGTGTTTCGTGACCCTTTAAATGACAGCAATAAAATATTGTTTATTTGTAAGTCTTGGTGATTTTCTCATAATTTATCTGTCACTAGTTGTGTATGTTAACAATTAAATACAAATGAATTATAATTCCTAAAATCATATTATAATTCCTAAAAATTTGGGTCGCGGCTTGGTGACCATGTGAAAATGTGGGTCCCATGGCCAAACCAGTTGAGAACCCCTGTCTTTAGTGACTGCCATGCTAATTTCATTTCAGTGGATTTATTGCATGAAGATGCATTGTGTTACATTGTAGTTGCATCAAATTACATTAATGGGAGGTTAATTAAACACTCCATTTACATGTACAAAACTCTTGTAATACTTTTCCACCTCTTGTCCGGCAGCTAGCTCTCTGCAACTCTCACATGGTCACCCACTCAAGCTAAGCAAGGCTGCGTCCAGTCAGTACCTGGATGGGAGACCACATGGGAAAACTATGTTGCTGCCGGAAGTGGTGCTAGTGAGGCAACAGGAGGGGTGTGCTCTGTGTGGGTCCTAACGCCCCAGTATATTGATGGGGACTCTATATTGCTTAGTGAACACCGTCTTTCGAATGAGACATTAAATCGAGGTCCTGACTCGCCGTGGTTGTTAAAAATCTCAGGTTGTCTTTCAAAAAAAAAAAAAAGAAAAGAAAAAGAGTAGGGGTTTAACCCCGGCATCCTGGCCAAATTTGCCCACTGGCCTCCATCCTAAGCATATAATAATAAGCATCACTTACTATCTAGTGTGCAGTCTGGCAGAATATGGCTGCCGTTGTGTTATCCAGGTGGATACTGCACACGGTGCACATGGTGGATGAGATGATTTCCCCCAAAAATGTGTAAAGCGTTTTTAGTGTTTGCAAAACATGTGTTTAAATGTGTGTTATAAGTTGTAGTCACCCCATGCTGCATGTAATCACGTATTTATCATAGAGTAGTGATTGTACTGTATCTCTCAGGTTAAATCTTTATGAGGCTGTTTACATATTCTGTCCAAAACCACGTTGGAAAAGTGACGCATGCTTCTTCCTTTAGTGATTTAAAGGGCTCTCACACACTCTGTGAGCTACTTAGCCATGAAGTTACACATCTGTTCAACATAGCCGTGGTGGGAATTTCTCTTCATCTCGCAATGAACGCAGTCAACCAATCACAACAGACTGGTTCATCAGACCAATCAGCGCAGATTAGCTTTGCGCCAAAGAGGGATTTGGGAATAAATGAATCGCTGAACAATTCATATGGGAGTGGTTGGGTTAATTAGGTAAAACATAAACGCATATTATAAGACAATGAAAGTGCTTTTTGACCTTGCACGCATATCAGCATGTTGTTGGAGACCCCCAAAACCAAAATATGACCATTTATAATGCAAAATAAGGGCTCTTTAAGCTTAAACATAATTTAATGCATATTTTTTCATACCAACTAACATTTGGAAAATATAAACACTTGATAAATCTAAAAATTGATATCAGAACAGAATTTATGAATAATTTACCCAATAATGTTTTTGATTGTGTTTCATGATTGAGGCCTGAGGTGAAAATTCTGTGTGAATTCAGATGAAGTAAAATTGACACACAAACCTTGACATTCCTCTCAAGATCTAACGTGACTTTGATGGCAGTCGACAGCATCTGAACGTCGGTTTCTCTGCCACCGACGCTGCTCACACCCACCTCCGTGGGGTAAATGGTAGGGTCCAGATGAGCTGGAGAAGTGAACCTGGGCATTTCTAGTTTCACAGGAATAGGGGAGTCTGGCACCTCCGCTGTAGAAAAAAAGCCAAACATACAAAAAACAAGAATTCAGAACAAAACAATGACTTATTTCCATGTCAAAACAACAGGAATAATAGGTTTGATGCGATTTGAAGCTCACCTTTATGGTACAGCTCCACTCGTTTGCTTTCTATAGTCAGAAAGTTGAGATTGGGATTGTTCTGGTGTTGTGTCACACTAAAAATCTTCCCTCCTTCCAAGTCCAATATGAGCTCTCCATGACAGAGCTCCACTTTCCGTCCAGCTTCATTCTTAAAGACAATTGCATTGGTGTCAACTTAAAAAATAGTGGCAATGCTACACCTTATTATTTCAACATATATAATACCTTGCTGTCTGTCATGGCTTGAAGGCGACCTTTGCCAATCAGCACAGTCAAACAGAGCAGACTGAGGGCGTGGCTTGACTGAGGCTCTAACTGTTTCCTTCGTTTTGATTGGCTGGCTGAATAGAACTGAGACTCCTCCTCCTCAGAGTCAGATTCTGGAATGATGCGTGAAAAGATTAAGAAACATTTCTTAAATGATTTTATTATCTTCAATTTTACAAGAAATTATTTGGCAGACACTTTTAGCTTTAAGTGCAAATAAATGAGAACATTAAGTAATGAAAGCAACAAACAAACATTAATATGACAATTCCTTGTTAGTCTAATGTAGTCGAAGCGTAAGAGTTTTCGTTAGAAGGTCAGAAACTTGCGAGGAAAATAAAGTAGAAAAATATTAATAGAAAACTGAAGGTGATCACTGTTGGTGTTAGAGGAGAAATACAAAGTAATTATATATACAGTGCACAGGTCTCCATTAAAAAAATAAAAATAAAAACTTTCTACAGCAGGGGTGTCAAACTTAATTGCTGGAGGGCCGAAGCCCTGCACAGTTTAGTTCCAACCCTGCTCCAACACACTTACCTGTAGGTTTCAAACAAGCCTGAAGGACTCAAATAGTTTGATCAGGTGTGTTTAATTAGGGTTGGAACTAAACTGTGCAGAGCTGCGGCCCTTTTGGAACTGAGTTTGACACCTGTGCTCTACAGGATGCTTTACAAGATTATACACTCACTGGCCGTTTTATTAGGTACACCTTACTAGTACCGGGGTGGACCTTTTGCCTTCAGAACTGCCCTAATCCTTCATGACATAGATTCAGTAAGGTACTGGAAATGTTCCTAAAAGATTTTGGTATATATTGACATGATAGCATCACACATTTGCTGCTAATTTGTCGGCTGCATATCCACGATGCAAATATCTCGTTCCACCACATCCCAAAGGTGCTTTATTGGATTGAGAGCTCATTGTCATGTTCAAGAAACCAGTCTGAGGTGATTCGTGCTTTATGACATAATGCGTTATCCTGCTGTTAGTACCTTACTGTGGTCATAAAGAGATGGACATGGTCAGCAACAATACTCAGGTAGGCTGTGGGGTTGACACGATGCTCAATTTGTACTAATGGGCCCAATTACACCACTGCACCACCATCACCAGCCTAAACCGTTGATACAAGGCAGGATTAATCCATGCTTTTATGTTGTTGACGCCAAATTCTGACCCTACCATCCGATTATCGCATCAGGAATCGAGACTCATCAGATCAGGTACCGTTTTTCCAATCTTTTATTGTCCAATTTTGGTGAGCCTGTGAGAATTGTAGCCTCAGTTTCCTGTTCTAAGCTGACAGAAGTGGCACCCGGTGTGGTCTTCTGCTGCTGTAGCCCATCTGCCTCATGTTGGACGTGTTGTGCATTCAGAGATGCTCTTCTGTATACCTCAGTTGTAACGAGAGCTTATTTGCGTTACTGTTGCCTTTTTATCAGCTCGAACCAGTCTGGCCATTCTCCTCTGACATCAACAAGGCATTTACGCCCACAGAAGTGTCGCTCACTGGATATTTTCTCTATTTCGGACCATTCTCTGTAAATCCTAGAGACGGTTTTGCATGAAAATACCAGTAGATCAGCAGTTTCGGAAATAGTCAGACCAGCCTGTCTAGCACCAACAACCAAGCCACAATCAAAGTCACTTAAATCCCCTTTCTTCCTCATTCTGATGCTCATTTTGAACTGCAGCAGGTAGTCTTGACCATGTCTACATGCCTAAATGCATTGAACTGCAGCCACGTGATTGGCTGATTAGAAATTTGCATTAAAGAGCAGTTGGACAGGTCTACCTAATGGACCAGTGAGTGTATTTGTGTATATACATTAGAGTAGTCAGGCAGACAAAACTAAAGCTAATTTAACAAAATAACTCAAGATCACAGTCCAAAAAAACTCAAATTAATATGTTAGAGAAGAATAGAAAAGAAACAAAAAAATACTTTTTTTTTGTTAAAATATGATTTCTTTATCAATATTTGAACTATACCTAAAGATGTTAGGTAAGCAAACTCTTATTCAATAAATGTAACTGTTAAAATAATACAATTATTTTGTTTTAATGCACCAAAATAAACAGTCTACATTCACAGAGAAACGAATAAAAATATACATTGTTAAAAGAGGGAGTACTACTTTATGACGTGCACTGGATATAAGTGTGTGTGTGTTTGTATCAAACAAAAAAAGACAGAATAAAAATAGATTAGAAAGTGATAAGAGGGGAATGTTTTACAAAGAGAGAATATTAGAAGCCAAAGCAAAAAAATAAGTAAAAGTAAATTTTAAAAAGATTTCACCTGAAATTCCTAAAATAAAAAAGACAGAAAATTTTAAGCAACAAAAATAAAACAAAGTGATAATATAAAAATGACAAAAGTTGTAACTAAATTACATAACTTAAACCAAAATGAGTTTCAAATTAATTCAAAGCATTATTAAATACTAAAACAGTGTAACACAAACATAACATATAGGGCCAAACGGAATCTGCGGACGTTTTTTTTGCTATTTCTGCTAAGAATTTTAGTAAAAATATGTGGATTTCTGCTGAATTATTTTGGGAGTATCAGAACTAAAACCTTAATATGTGAAATAAAAAATAATCTCTTTTTAACTTTTATTTAATGTTTAAAATGTAAAAACAATTATATGTTCTTATTTGGTTAACAAAGCAAGTCTCTCATGTAATACATCTACTAAAAGACAGAAAATACTACTGTACAAACTGCATTGTACATAAATCAGATGAACATTTTCATATTGGTCAATAATATTACTGTAATTATATTAACAACTGAATAAATATAGATTTACACACATTTACTCAAGTAAATAAACAGAATTAATTATGGGCTAAAAATCTGCGGAAATCTGCAGAAAATCTGCAAAATTCTGCACGCGCAGATTCCATGTGGGCCTACATATAGCTAAAAAAAATGTTATTACTGACCCAGCCTGAAGGCAGATTTACAGAGGTAAAACTCATCCTCTTCGTGTCTGTGATGGTGAGAGGGACTACGAGAACTTTGAAAAGAAGATGGAGGAGCAGGAGGAGGAGACGGAGGAGGTGGAGGAGGCTCCCACATCAACAGATCATTATTAATCCTATAGAGAAAAAGATGAAGAGCGTCACATCACTCAAACTTTTGATATGATTTGATGACAAACGATAACATAACCATAAACAAAAATGATTAAACTTCTGAATGTATATTTAGGTTTGTATTAAACATACATTTATTGTACCCAAATGTATCTTAGTACATAATGTATCTTATTTACTCTCTCTAATGTATCTTATTTAGTCTTCTATGCCAGTGTTTCTCAACTGTCTTTTGGGTCGCGGGAATGTTTTCAGTGGGTCGTGGAGTGTGTGGTGAAATTTTTTATTTCATTTTTTACTTATTTTGCTCATACCAGACTTTTATTTTTAAATGCGTGTGCGACAACCCTACCATTTGACATGTGAAAATTCATTTAATTATAGCAACAAATATGTCAAAGCGCAAGTATGACCCTGAATATTTAAAGTATGGATTTACATATATTGACGACAAAAAGACTTAAAGCCTCAGTGTCACATGTAGTGAGGTGCTCTCATAAGAGCACATGAAACCTTCTAAATTGAAACGACATTTAGAAACCAGACACCATGTTTTTTAACAGTTCAGTTTAGTTCATGGTAACTGAACCTTTGCTTTCCCTAACCACTGTTTCAGTGTTTGTCGTTTTTACTTTGTAATAGTTGTATAATTCGATACGTTTTGTTAAACGACAGCAAGAAAATATTGTTTATTTGTAAGTCTTGGTGATTTTGATTTATCTGTCACTACTTGTTTATGTTAACAAACAAATACAAGTTAATTATAATTCCTAAAATTGTATTATAGTTTAATTTGGGGGCAACTTGACGACCATGTAAAAATGTGACCATGTAAAAATGTGGCCAAACCAGTTGAGAACCCTTGTTCTATGCTACTGCTCGTCTGACCTGCCTTCCCCTGAAATGTGTGATGTTTGTGTACGGTCGGAGGGGTCAAATTTCGCTGCAGGTAACAGTATATTTGACAAATAAAAGGCTTTTATCATCATCATCATCATCATCATCTTCTTCTTCTTCTTCTTCTTTCATCATAAACAGTACAAAATAATAGGGAAATATATAATCTTGAAAGATGTCTCTTATTAATGACTATTTATTTATTTATTGCTACATCAGCAACTTATGGTAACTTATGGCAAAATTTCGTGGAAAAATGGATATACATAAAATATTACATGATAAAAACAAATTCGTATTACAATAAAATATATTTTCAAAGTTAAATATGAAATGTGTGATGTTTGTGTGCGGCCGGAGGGGTCAAATTTCGCTGCAGGTAACAGTGTATTTGACAAATAAAAGGCTTTCATCATCATCATCATCATCATCTTCTTTCATCATAAACAGTACAAAATAATAGGGAAATAAATAATTTTGAAAGATGTTCTATTTATAACTTTACTTTCACTATGGTTTTATAAAATGGTTTAATTAATATTATTATTATTATTATTAGTATTATTATAAGAGTCTTGTAATAGATCTTGTTTCATTTGACGACAATGTAACAATTGTTTCTAAAATGAAAATCCAATGACTAAAAGATTCACTGACCGTTGGTGTATAGAGCCCAAAATGTGAGAATTGTGTCAATGTCCTAATATTTATAGACCTGACTGTATATAGCACCTTTCACAGACATTAAGTCACAAAGTGCTTTACAATAAAAGAAAAAAAGGTAAAAGAAAACAAATCAAAACAAGTAAAAAAAATCCAAGAACAGAAGAATTTAAAAGAATTCAAAACGTTAATTGATTTTTTTTTTGTGAAATAATATTACCCAGCCCTACTGAAAAGGTGTCTCTTAAATCAGTGTTTGTAGAATTAAAAGTGAATAATGGGTAAGTGTGAGGAAATACCTGTTATAGATGCTTAGGAAAGCCTCTTTACTGGGCAGAAGGATGTAGGCTACAGGGAACGTGATATCAACCACATACTGACACTGACATATACACTGAGACTGAAACTCCTCCATCTCCTCTGGGTCTGCTGGGATCACCATCTGAGACAGAGAATAAAAGATGTATATTAATAAAAAAAGGCAAAAAAAAAACAAAAACTGAGAGATGCACACAGTCACTACTTGGCACCAACTTGTGCAGTGTAGCATGGATTACTTGAAAATGCTAGAATGCACATATGTTGTTTATTTATATGGTAACATTTAGTTTGGGTCACAATACACACTATTTACTATTGGCTTATTACCTGCCTACTATAAAGATAATAACTGTTCATTAGTAGTTATAAAATATGATCTTATACTGCATCCCTAATCCTACCCAAAACCTAAACCCAACTTCTACCTTACTAACTATTAATTAACAACTCAATTTTAGTAGTTTATTAAGCTAGTAGTGTTGGTTAAGGGTTTGTTAGTAGCGTGAATTGTGATAGCAGCTTAATCTGAGTTCAGCTGTGGTAAATTCAGTTGATTGGACATGATTGGAAAAGGCATACATCTGTCTATAGAAGGTCCCAGGGTTGACATTGCATGTCAAAGCACAAACCAAGCATGAAGACAAAGGAAATGGTCTGTAGACCTCTGAGACAGGATTGTCTAGAGGCACAAGGCTGGGGAAGGTTACAGAAACATTTCTGCTGCTCTGACAGTTCCAATGAGCACAGTGGCCTCCATCATCCCTAAGTGGAAGATGTTTGGAACCACCAGGACTCTTCCTAGAGCTGGCCGGCTATCTAAGCTGAGTGATTGGGGGAGAAGGGCCTTAGTCAGGGAGGTGATCAATAACCCGATGGACACTCTGTCTTGAGCTCCAGCGTTCTTCTGTGGAGACAGTAGAACCTTACAGAAGAACAACCATCTGTGCAGCAATCTACCAATTAGAGTGGCCAGTCACTTCCCGCCTGGAATTTGCCAAAAGGCTTCTGAAGGACTCTCAGACTAAAAGAAACAAAATTCTCTGGTCTGATGAAACTAAAACTGAACTCTTTGGAGTGAATGCGTACATCAATGCAAATATCAATGGAGTGACTTCACAACAACTCGGTGAATGTCCTTGAGTGGCCCAGATAGAGCCCATACCTAAATCCTATTGAACATCTCTGGAGAGATCTGAAAATGGCCGTACACTGTCGCTTCCCATCCAACCTGATAGAGCTTGAGAGGTACTGCAAAGAGGAATGGGCAAAAATTCCCAAAGACATGTGCGCCAAGATTGTGGCATCATATTCAAAAAGACTTGAGGCTGTAATTGCTGCCAAACATGTATCATAAAGTATAGAGCAAAGGCTGTGAATACTGATGTACATTTGATTTTTCAGGTTTTTTATTTTTAACCTTTTTTCACATTGCCATTATGGGTACTGTGTCTAGAACTCTGAGGAAATAAATGAATTTAATCCATTTTGGAAGAAGACTGTAACATAAAAAATGTGGAAAAAGTAAAGCGCTATGAATACTTTCCTGATAGACTGTACAGGAATCATAAAGTGAAATTCAATACCTTTAAAGACCTTTTTTAGACTCTTTCCATACATTTTAAGACCTTAAAACCACTTTAGGTCTCAACTGGAAATACTGTTAACTTACAGTATGTTGACTAAATATTAATGTAAGAAACTAATCCAAAACTAAAACATTATTCATAAACTGAATAGAAAAATTTATCAAATCTAGCTAATTCAGCAGGTAGGCGCCTATAGAACTGCAGAAATAATGGTGTTGCCTTGGTTACTTTTGATTTCATAAACTACACAGCATCCTGATATTCACAGATTTAATTCAGGCAAACTTTAGCATACAATCATACAATGCATAATCAAAAATCATATCAAATTTAACACATTTTTGTTTTGAAACCATTTTAAGGTCAAAATTATTAGCCCTCTTATGCAATAGTTTTATTAGATAGTCTACAGAACAAACCATCATTATACAATGATTTGCCTAATAATCCCAACCTGCCTAATTAGCCTAGTTAAGCCTGTAAATAGCCCTTTAAGCTAAATACTAGTAAATTGAAAAATATCTGTTAAAATATTATGTGCTGTCATTATGGCAAATATAAAAGAAAACAGTTATTAGAAATAAGTTATTAAAACTGTTATGTTTAGAAATGTGTTGAAAAAATCTGCTCTCCATTGAAGAGAAATTGGAAAAAAATATATACAGAGGCGCTACTTTAATTTTGACTTTAACTGTGTACACAAGAAAAAGAGGTACCCAGACAGGGTGCACACACCTCTTCTGTCTCAAACATGGTGCGGTTAGAGGAGAAGGGTGAGCTGTTCTTTTCTCTCAGTTCACAGGGGTTTTCCAGAGACATGGAGCCCAGATCCCTGTTCAGTCCTTCACACACACCCATGCTGTCAGAGCCGGCTCCTTCATTCACCTGCACCTGAATCCTGAAGAAAAACAGAGGGAAATCTTTTGTCAACACTGTATTATTATTTTATTTAAAGCATAATCTTAGAAACACATGCACATACACACAAATACACAGGTTTGTTTTTGTGAATTGTGGGGACATTACACAGGTTTCCATTGTTTTTATACTGTACAAACTGTATTTTCTATAGCCCTACCCTCATCCCATCCATAAACCTAATGCTCACAGGAAACGGTACAGTTTTACTTTCTAAAAAACGAATTATGTGTGATTTATAAGCTTTTTTTTATAATTGAGAACATCAGCAGTGTCCTGGAGGTGGGGGGGTCTTACAAAGTTTAGTTTCAACCCCAATCAGACACACCTGAGCTAACTAATCAAGCTCCTACCAGGCTTTCTAGAAACATCCTTGCAGGCGTGTTGAGGCAAGTTGGAGCTAAACTAAGCAGGACACCGCCCCTCCAGGACTGAGTTTGGACACCCCTGTTCTAGTACCTTTTCATACCCGTGTCAGTATACAGATTTGTGTCCTGACAAGTCACAAAAACATGCACACACATACACACACATGCACGCACGCACGCAGTCACTAACTGACCTGGGTATGCCATCAGGATTCTGCGGATCTGTGCTCTTCTGTACACGGATACAGGGAAATGCCTCTCCATCCCAGCCCTCATACACTCCTGAAACATACACACACTACAGATAAGATTTAAGAGAAAAATACCACTGTATCCTCAGAACTAAACCTTAAAAATAATCTATGAACTAGAAAACTATCTATGAAACAGGAACACAATCAGCTGGAAATAACTAACATAATAATAATAATAATAATAATAATAATACTATAACGGTAACACTTTATTTTGATGGTCCCTACTGCACATTTTGTTGACTAAAATTGCATTGCAACTACATGCCAATTACTTCTCATTTGAGTATTAGTAGACTGTCTGCTTAATATTTGTTGATACTGCTCCTTTAACATTTATCTGACAATGAGAAACTTTGTAAGTACGTCAACTTACACTTACACCCCAACACTAACAGTCTCCTTATAATCTAAAGAGAATTAGTTGGCATGTAGATGCAATGTAACTTTAATTCAACAAAATGTGTGAAAGGGACCATCAAAATAAAGTGACACAAATATAACTAATAATATAATTCCAATAATTAATTGTATGCATCATGATTTATTCACATAATCATTAAGCTGTAAAGACATGTTATTAATAAAAAATATGTTTTTTCATACTTAACAATTCATATAATAATAATATATTATTTGATTAGGTTATATCACAAGTCAGATCACATATTAAGTTCTTTTAACAATAATATACACTAACTGTCAACATCTATTAAGAATGTAAATGGGAGTTTCCTTAGGTATTGATCTCAAGGTAGCAAGAAACAGTATATTAAATATAAATATATAATATTTATCCACTGAATACCATCTAAAGCAGGTTTTAATATTTATAATATATATATATATATATATATATATATATTAAAAATATGATATATATATATATATATATATATATATATATATATATATATATATATATATATATATATATATATATATATATATATATATAAGATTTTAATCTCTTATGTGCGAAAAGGCTACTTTTGATCAAAATGTCCACAAAAAAATTATATTTTGAAATACCACCACCACTATTTTGTGTACATGAGGCGTGTACAGTTGAGGTCAGAATTATTAGCCCCCCTGAATTATTAGCCCTCCTGTTTATTTTTTTTCCCCAGTTTCTTTTCAACGGAGAGCAGTTTTTTTCAACACACTTTTAAACATAATAGTTTTAATAACTCATTTCTAATAACTGATTTATTTTATCTTTGCTATGATAACAGTAAATAATATTTTACTTGATATTTTTCAAGACACTTCTATGCAGCTTAAAGTGACTTTTAAAGGTTTAACTAGGCGAATTAGGTTAATTAGACAGGTTAGGGTAATTAGGCAAGCTATTTTATAGAGATGTTATTTTCTGTAGACTATCAAAAAAATAGGGATGCACCGATATAGATTTTTTAGCTGATATCGATAACCGATAACTCTTCAGACTTGGAGGCCGATAGCCGATATATATAGGCCGATAATTATAAATATTTCAAAATGTTATATTTTTATACAGCAAACTTCATAAAAGATTGAACTGCTCTTATGAACTGAATTGTCTATATTCAAAAAAGTTATATTTTCAAAATTGCAAGGTGATTATAGAGACCTATATTCAAGATTTTACATAAATCAGCATGCAAACAATAATTTCCTTTTCTTCAAACATAACAACAACAAACAAATAACAAAGTGGGATTTAATCAAAAAGCAAGTTATATATATATTTTAAACAAAATGAAAATGAAAGAGCTAAGGACTGAAATCATCTCAAATGTTCTTGAATAAAACTTGCTACAGTAATGTACATATGAACAAATATGTAATGTCCGAAAAAGGCCATTTTAGAGGTGTTTTGACAGTTCAGAGCCACCGTACAAGCAAAAAGCTTGTTACAGAATGTATTACTTAACATACGGCATAGATTCTTTATATTTGGCGTTTTAGATTTTTTTGAATACATGTAGCTGCTGCTTGTCAATCAGACAACGCTTCTGTGTTCGTTCTTACTGTCAAATGCAGGACAAAAATAATCAATGAAAAGTTTATGATAAACCGCTGTGAATTTCACTCAACAGCAGGCAGAGCAGCTAAGCATTGAGCTCAGATGATTTTATGACAAACAGAGCATAATATAAAGAGAGAATGTGCGGTGAGTTGAGAGCTCCTACTCTGGATTCAGTGACCGGCGCACCGCACCTCTCCCCTGTGCTGTTGTTAAGGCTGTCAGATCAGTATGTGTGTGTGTGTGTGTGCGGTGACAGCCCTTAAGCGAGCTTGTGATAATCATTATGAACAAACTGAAATATTATCAAACTGAATACATTCTTACATCAACAACACATGGCAAGCAACAAGCCGATAATAACAAATAATCATATTAGATTACAAACAACCAAACAAGCTGTTTAACATGTGTGCATCGCTGCTGTGATGTTTGCACATGTAATATTTTTCCTGAGGCGATTTAAAGCAAAATACACAATGGCACTCAATTAAACATATCTACAATGATAAGGAACATGGTTACTTACTAAGTTATTAACACACAGCAATACCACATGAAGAAAGAAAGAACTTTGACGGAATAAACAATGTGAGGAAAGCTCCATTATAGTGCAATGGACAAGTCTAAACTAGTTCCGCCCACACGTGCGCGAGGCAGGCAGTTCTGTAGAATTACACAATTTATCGGCTTAAAGATATCGGCCTAATTTAGACATTGGATCGATAACGCTAATCTTAAAAATAGCATTTATCGGCCGATAACGGTAAGGCCGCCGATATATCGTGCATCGCTAAAAATATATAGCTTAAAGCGGCTAATAATATTGACTTTAAAATGGTTTAAAAAAAAATTAAAAACTGCTTTTATTTTAGCCTAAATAAAACAAATAAGACTTTCTCCAGAAGAAAAAAATATTATCCGACATACTGTGAAAATGTCCTTGCTCTGTTAAACATCATTTGGGAAATATTTAAAAAAGAAAAACAATTCAGAGGGGGGCTAATAATTCTGACTTTAACTGTATATGATATGGGTGTATATGTATATAAGTGTATGAGATTTTAAACTAGAAAAGCCTCACCGTGCAGGTCACTGAAACAGGCCTCCAGTAATTTGGTGAGTTTGGCCCCCGGACTGCGGGGGCCGTCCTGCTGAACGTCAGGCCCCTGCTGAGACTTTAGCTCCAGATTGGAGATTTGCAGGCTCAGGGTTTCATTGCGCACTGCACGCTGGCTCTGGGGCCGCCTCAGCCCTGGGGGTCGAAGGTCAGGGATGGGAAAACGAACCTTCAGCACGGCAAAAGGAGATTGAAGCAGGAGGGAAGACTGGAACTCTAACAAATGAGACTGCAGAGAAAGAGAGAAGATAAAGGCCAGGCTACACACTTCTTTTACCTGTCCCATAAAAAGAAGCATCTGCACAGCTTTCAAAGTGGACTCAACTACAGATGAAACATGTTCATGTTGTTTAAACAAACACAGCTGAACAGTGTAGAGCAGGGGTGGCCAACCCTGTTTCTGGAGAGCCACTTTCCTGCAGGTTTCAGTTGCTACCCATATTAAACACTCCTGAACCAATTAATTAGGACCCGAACACCACGTGATAATTTCAGGCAGGTGTGTTTGATATGGGTTGCAACTGAAATCTGCAGGAAGGTGGCTCTCCAGGAACAGGGTTGACCACCCTTGGTATAGAGCATGGGTTCTCAAACTCAGTCCTGGAAGGCCGGTGTTTTGCAGATTTTGGCTCCAACTTGCCTCAATACACCTTTAAGGATGTTTCTACAGAGCCAAGAAAGAGCTTGATTAGCTAGCCCATGTGGGTCTAATTGGAATTGGAGCTAAAATCTGCAGGACACCAACCCTCCAGAACTGAGATTAAGAATGCCTGGTATAGAGATATATACTGTATACAGCTAATGCTAATGAAGGTTAGGCCCACTTATTTTCTGGAAGGAGACCACCTGGGAAAATTGCTGCTGAAAGGCCACAAGGGGTTTTTCACTCTGGGGTCTGTGTGGGTCCTGTTGGCCCAGTATAGTGACGAGGACACTTTTTAAGGGCCTAAAATACTTAAAATCAAGTAATCACTTTAGACCAATGGTGGCCTATTGGTGTTTAGGAGCCAAAAACAACCCAAAAAGTATTTGGGCAGATTTGTTTTGAAATTAAATCATTTCATTTTGCTCTTTGATTTTGAAGAAAATCAAAGAAAATGCTCTTGCTTGTGAAGTAGATCAGGGGTCTCATTTATAAACATGGCGTATGCCCAAAACAGGGGGTGGAAATATGCGTATGTGCTACTTCCCACGCAAGAGTTAGGACGTACGAAAAACAAACTTGATGAGAGACTGTGCGTAGCTGTGAGTAAACTCCAAGTAAAAATATTCAACTTACATGTTGACTAAGCAACCATAAATTATCATATAAGCCATAATCATTAAAAAATTAAATACAAATGCATTCTGGTCTATGTTTAATTTTAGGTTAAGGTTTCTATGCAAAGTGAAAACGAAAACATTTGTTGCAGCACTCTTAATGAAATCTCTTGCCTCAGGGATTTTTTTTTTCATTATTGGACACACCAAATTACCTAAGGGCTTGTATGCAACCGGGCCCTAGCGTCAAAATGACCCAGCCTTAAGTACTACCAAAAAGGCTGAAGTGTTTTTTTTTGTTATTTAAGAACAGACTTGAAACAACAGCCAAATTCAAGCCCTGTGCATGCTTTCAAAATATTACTGTTATTGTTTTTGAGCAGGAGAGTGTAGTGACCTCTGCATTGTGTGCCTTGTTTCTCTGAGGTGATGATGGACAGTGGCTCAGGGCTTGCAGGATGTCCTCTAGTCGGCCTAAAATGTCCAGGTCCAATTCAGAGCTGAGCTCGCCGAGCTCGACCCGCAGTGAGCTGTCTCTGCGCACCACCCGCCGTCTGCTGCCACTCTACAAGAGAACATATTTCATATCATTACATCACTAAAGCATAACAGACATATTAGTTTCACTCAGGACTCAGTCAAGCAACACTACCTTACGCATGTGCTTCTCGGACAGACTGTGGTGGAACTGGGCACAGGGTCTGGCAGTGGTGCCCATTGTGAAAACACCTGCTGACTGGAACTGCAAAAGCTGAAATAGGAAAAAAAGTGGGTATACACACTCATTTTAAAAAGAAACTTTTCCAGAAAATTCATCATCCTGCAAGATGTTTCTAGCTGGATTTGCAAGCTTTTGGCCGTCTGGTTTTGTGACCATATTCACATCTGTTTAAAATTCACCCTGAGCAGCTGGCGACCTTAATGATTCCTTAATGATTCCTGACTAAGTTACACCATTACACCAGTGTATAAATCTGGCAGACAACTGGCAATTTTCTGATAATTAGCATGTTTTATTATTTAGATATTTCACATTTGAGGTTTAGAGTGCAACGGAGTAAAAATGCCAAAGAAAAACAGGACATTACTTGCTATTATTTTACTTGTGTCACGATCGGTGAAGGGAAAAAGGAGCAAGGACCCAAGCGCAGAGTGAAGTAGGATTTATTAATAATAAAATAAAATAAAAGGCAAAAATAAACAACCCCGAGGGGGAAAACACAACTACAACAAACAATCAAACAAACAAACTTGACTGGGCAGGCACGACAAGGCAAGGCTGGACACAGCAGGACAGGTAAAGATGGACAACATGTGATGACGAACTCGCACAGGACAGCAGACATAAGGGGTTTATAAACTATAGGAAATTAACACAAAAACAGATGAACATAATTAACTAATAATGGGTTAACAAGGAGGGTGGGACTAGACAATAGACGGGAGAGCGCATGACACAGAGAGACAACACAAGCAATGCGCTCACATAACACAGGACAAGGACATGCGGCCAATGAGAGAACTCATCAACCGCATGTTCATGACAAGACGAGCACAACACTGAAGCACACGACAAAAAGCACGTGACCACAATGTAAACATCGAGCCACGTGCTTTGACAAAAGACGCAAGACACGAGCACACGATAGATGAACACCTTACCGTGCGCTCACACATAAGCAACGCGCATGCTTCATCTCAGCGCCAACCAAAACTGAAACCAACTAGACGGAGGCGCCGAGAATAAAGCAGCGCGATGCTGACAGAACAAACACAAACACTAGTACAAGAGCGCGCGCGTCTGACGGACGCAGAGCGTGCGTAGCCACATCAAGCGGCAGCGCGCACACTCTGCGTACACCCTTGACGGCGCGCACGCACACAGAGACAGAAACAGGACCAGACATGGGTAGTGTCAGAGCTCTGCCACCAAAACAAGAATTTACAAGACCAGAGTGGCAGAACCCTGACAACTTGACATTAGACAGTGTTTATTTCATATTCAAGCTAGGCTACTATTTAGTATTATGTAGCTATTTATTTTTAATGATCGATAAGAATGATACAGATTTTTAATGGTTAGAGTGAAAATAGTCTAAACTTTAATTATAACAATTTCATTTTAATATACATAAAAACTGAGATAAAAATTTTTTTTTTATGGACGTCTTATTTTCTTCTTTTTCAAAACAGACTACTTATTTTGTCAGAAAACATTGGAAAACAATAAAGCTTTTTCTTCTCTTGGCGACTGACTTAAGAAGCTCTTGAGAAGTTTGTGAAAATCTTTTAATCCAAATATTGTAAATATGAACTTGGATAGGGCTGATTTATACTTCTGCGTCAAATGCATGCGTATGGTCCGGTGCAGTCAAATAGCCTTCGCCATGGCTGACATCAACGCTGACTTACACCAATCAAAAATCTACATGTCACAATGACGCATAGCTCTGTGATTGGTCGGTTTGATACCGGTGACGAGTGTGGGCAGTGCTGAGAGCCGTGAGCCCGATTGAGCGAGCGTTTACAAGCGTCGAGTCCTGTGAAGGAACACCAGATGGAAACTTTTATTTTGTGTTTGGCTTACAGATGATTACAGTTGTTGCTCATCTGAGTTTTAGCTACTTGTACATTAATATGGAAGTTTTTTCCTAACAAAATTCAAATGAAAATTCAAATGCTTAAAAGATCAAATGATAAATCAAATGCTCAAACTATAGATCAAATGCTCAAACCGACATTGCAAATGATAAATCAAATCCTCAAACTGACTCTGCAAATGATAAATCAAATGCTCAAACGGACTTTGCAAATGGTGAATCAAATCCTCAAACCGACTCCTCAAATGATAAATCAAATCCTCAAACTGACATCGCAAATGGTGAATCAAATGCTCAAACAACTCTGCAAATGGTGAATCAAATCCTTAAACGACTCCGCAAATGGTGAATCAAATGCTCAAACTGACATCGCAAATGGTGAATCAAATCCTCAAACTGACATCGCAAATGATAAATCAAATGCAAATGAGGTGTCAATCAACCAGCATAGGCGGAGCTTTAAGGCTTTAAGGATACGACGTGGAATAGTGCACGCAAATCTGAACGCCTTGAAAAAGTGGTAGCGCTACCGGTAGTTGTCAACAACAAACTCTTCCGCCTTAAAGCTCCACCTATGCTGGTTGATTGACACCTCATTTGCATTTGATTTATCATTTGCGATGTCAGTTTGAGCATTTGATTCACTATTTGCGGAGTCGTTTAAGGATCTGATTCACCATTTGCAGAGTTGTTTGAGCATTTGATTCACCATTTGCGATGTCAGTTTAAGGATTTGATTTATAGTTTGAGCATTTGATTCACCATTTGCGATGTCAGTTTGAGGATTTGATTTATCATTTGCGATGTCAGTTTGAGGATTTGATTCACCATTTGCGATGTCAGTTTGAGCATTTGATTCACCATTTGCGGAGTCGTTTAAGGATTTGATTCACCATTTGCAGAGTTGTTTGAGCATTTGATTCACCATTTGCGATGTCAGTTTGAGGATTTGATTTATCATTTGAGGAGTCGGTTTGAGGATTTGATTCACCATTTGCAAAGTCCGTTTGAGCATTTGATTTATCATTTGCAGAGTCAGTTTGAGGATTTGATTTATCATTTGCAATGCCGGTTTGAGCATTTGATTTATAGTTTGAGCATTTGATTTATCATTTGATCTTTTAAACATTTGAATTTTCATTTTAATTTTGTTAGGAAAAAACTTCCATACATTAAGGTAGCATTCCGAAAAAACAAAACACCTGCGAAGAAACTCGACACAGAGGAACATTAAAAATGTACTGTCAGCTAGCGTTTGGATAGTGTTATTGCAGATTAGCACAAACAGCACGCAGACGTATAAATGCGTGACTACGTCCATGGCTGTCGCCGGGGGTCATGCCGATCACTCGATGCAGAAGTATACATCAGCCTTCAAGCAAGATGTGTCGTGTCTTGTCTTTACGATGTTTTCTACATGACAACCTTCTACCTGACTAACTTCTACATGTTACCAAGCAATGCAAACAGACACTGAATAGCGGAACCAGTGTGCGTACACTTGTAGAAAACAATGTTCACATTTATAAAAGACGTGATGCAGCGTGGCGCTTCTCATCTGGTGTGCAACCCTCTTTAGGCACTATTTACTGCAAAATGTGCAGTTTTGAATGGTTTTCTAATGGACACAAGTGTTTTATGCGCTGCTTATGTTCCCTACGCAGCTCGGGTTTTAACCGCCTGCTGCGCCTCATGTTTTTGTCATTGCACTATGTGTGCGCGTGCAGTTGAAAAAAGTCAACTCTGAGCGGAAAAAGTGTGCTACGTCAGTCCCGTCCTTTTCATTCTCCAATCAAATGAAGGCAGGGTTTGCGTTGAGATGACAGCAGCGTTTGTGTTGTCAAGACCACTTAAGAGACTTTTAAAGAAGATGCGGTTTTGAGCTGTATGACTTCACAAATCGTGAATATAGCAATATTATTAAATATTACAATTATAACAGTATAAACACAGTGATTCACTAGTTGCCTAGCAACATAAAAAGCGCAGTGCACTTCTTTTTTTTTTTCCAAGGTGTTCCTCGATTGGCCCTTTATCGTTCATATACATAACATTTGTACAATTCATTAATATGAACATAATTTTTGATGATTTTGTCTTACAGTTATACTAAATAAATCAGTTCTGTTTTTGTTGAAAACTTTAAGTGAGTTGAACAAGCAAAAATATATTAAAACAGGGCCCCTATATATGTATAGCAAGTTTACATTTCAATTAAACATGGTGAATGACTAATCTACTTTAAACAAACAATCCTACACATATCATAAAAAAGATTTACTAAAGTCAGCAGATTTTCCAAGAAGCCCTAATAACTGATAGCATTTGGGTTTTAGTATTTTGTGGTTGTTCTGTGTACCTCTGTGTACTGCGGTCCGCCTGCGTCCCACAGGCACTCCAGCAGTTCCAGCCTGCTGAAGGAGAGGTCAGTGGTAGTGGCTCGACTGTGCCGCCCTGCGCTACGCATCTCACAGGCCAGCTGCACTGCTGCACCAGTCACCCTGAAACCACAGATCAGAGCGCTGAACATCACATACTGTATACACAACCGGAACAGGCTATATACAGAAATTCAATTACTTTTACCTCTATTACCTTTTCTTTTTTTTTTGTTAAAAAGTATTTTCATATATTTAAACCCATGTGTGCTGTTGGAGATGTATCCATCCACTCTGGGGGATTTTATGTCTGAATTTGGCCACAACTTTGTTTCGGCAAATGGAATGATTTTTGGTGACAAATCTTATATTGAGACATATTTTGGGAAAACGCACTGACATTTTTCACAAACTCAACAATAAACTCTGGGCAAATTGACTACCCTTTCATTATGTTTGGGGCTGTTTTTGCCCCATTGACTTCTATTATATTCACATTTCTTGATCACAAATCCTTGACAGCATATAATCATGCATACTTGATTGTTGCTGGTTTTCTCTGTTGGGAAGAGGTACAATTTAACATTTTTATTGTTGATCATCAGTTGCAATGCAAAAAAAGCATAGTTTCTGCCTTTTATAAGGAGTTATACAGAGTACAAAGTGTGTATGAGAGAGAGAGCACACTTACCTTGATATGTCTGAGAAAATAAAAATAAGCAGCTTTGACACATGCACTCCGGTGTTCACGGCGACCCGCATTCGATTCCTGCCTCACTGTCCTATGCCGATCCTTCCCCTTTCTCTGCTCCCCATACTTTCCTGTCAATAATCTCTACTCTCCTATCTAATAAAGGTGAAAACCCCTCAATTATAAAAATAACTCCAGAGGCCTATCTAAAGAGTTGCCAACTGCTACCAACTGATGATTGAGAGTAAATGTCAAATTCTACCTCTTCCCACAAGGGGGGAAACCACCAACAATCAAGAATGCATAATTATATGCTGTAATGGCTTTGCAATCAAAACATGTCCTTATAATGAAACTCAATACGGGCAAAAACATTTCAATTAGAACAAAAAAAAAAAAAAACAGGGTTAAGACCATATTGACACTTTAGGTTTGATACAGTAACATTGGTGACATTGTAACTCACAGTATACTTACATACTGACTGCAAGAAAGCCAAAGAGCTTGCAAGGAAAACTAGTGTCTAAGCCTATTATAACTGCTTAACAATGCAATATAATTCAGATGGGTGGGAACAAACATATTGTTTTGCAATTTATTTACACTATGAAAGGTTAATAAAAAAGAGAAATACAAAACAATAGTAATTAGACCAGTTAAAAAAAAAACTTTGAGGGGTTTAACAATGAATTAATGAAACTTTAGAAATGCATTTTTATTACTAGCAAATTGGCTGATTTCATATTTTAGTATTTAGAATATTTGTAAAAAATTAAATAAAATAAAATGAGTATGCGTCTTTTTAATCTTTTTTATTTCCTTTGTTACTGCAGTAAGCACAGCAGATTTCATTAACTACACAACACCCTGATATTCACAGAATATTTTAAGGCAAACTTTAGCACACAACTATAAATTGTAGGATAAAAAATATACAAATTTTAATACCTCGTGAATAGCATTTTAGACTTTTAAACACTTAAAAACTTCAATCTGGCTTATAACACATCAGATGTGTCATCATTCTTATTATCATGAACCTAACTCTAATCCTTGTGCCTGCCATTTTAATGATTTGTTGTTTAAATGCGTTTTAACAACTCTTATCTCGTACATAATGTTGGTGCTTTTGTTTATTTTGTTTGCATACATTATAATTATTAGGATTTTCTTAACTATGTCCATGTTAGTGCTTCTTTGTTATGCTTGGGTCATTGAATAACTTTTGTATTTTTTACAGTTTTCTGACAATTTAAAAAAAAAAACTGTCCAGGGTCAATGGATGAAAAATAGGCTTTTGGCTAAATCTGTTGCATTTGCTGAAATGCTAATTAATGTACACAGTCCCTGCCAAAAAAAAAAAAAAAAAATTAATTAAATTAAAATGTTTTATGGGCTTTAAATTTCTCTAAATTGATTTATCAACTTTTATTACATTTTAAGACCCCAAAGGAGACGCCCCAGCACACCCTGAGGATGAACCATTATTGATTCCTGTCGTACCTGATGTGGGAGTGGGGACACGCTTTAGCAAAGCTTCCTCTCAGGTTCTGGAAGTCTCTCTCGCTGAACATGCTGTCCTTAAAGAACGCAAGCTCACTGAAAAACAGCTGTGACACCTCAGCCAATGAGGAGAGCCCGTCAGGCCCGGGAGGCGGGTCTTCTTCTAAGAGAGTCAGTGTAACTCCGCCCAGAGAAAGGCGGATAAACGAGTCTGGCTTCATCGGCTCTGATTGGCTGCCTCGAGACGACCGCTCTATTAACAGAAAAATGAAGACTGTTGACTGACAGAAACATTGATGGAATGTAGCAACACACACAACAGGTTTTGAAACATACTTGAAGGTCTGCTACATTGAGGCAAACTAGAAAAGGATCCTGGTACAGGATAACGTCGAGGACAGTTTAGCATTCCCTGTAAAAGATTCAAGAGAAAGTCAATCAGAGGTATGTTTCTGAAAACCATCATTAGCCAACCAAGGTCACAAGTTCTGTCATTACAAACACAGTTTGTCGATCTGGCTTGGTTTCCCAAATCCATCGTTCCAACAAACATTCGCAAACATGTGCACTTGCAACTACACCTCTAGAGATGTAGTTAGAAGCCTAGTTCCTGGTTGCATTCAATAGACTGGAGGAACTATGACGTCAATTTGTATGCAAAAACACGAAAGCGAGGTAGGAATTTAGCAGTACCGGTTCCCTCTTCCCAAAGTCAATGGGTTTTTTCAATGGGATTTTAGTTAAATCGCTTAAATAAGATTCGTGGCTAACAGAAACTCAAGATACCTTCATGTTTTATTCTAAGACATAAAACACATCAGTCACATCACACTCTTGATTTTTTAAATCGGTTATGCTTCTTTAAAAGGATGGTTGTTATCAAGTTGCCAAATGGGACTACAGGCAGTGTCGGACTCATTATCTGAAGCGCAGCTCGCTTGTGTTGGGCATTTGGATCTGTCTGTTATTTAAGTATTTTAATGAATAGTATTTTATAGTTTGTAGTATTTTTGTAACTGGGAACTAATGTTGTGTGTAGATAATTCCTTCACATGTAAAGGCTGTCGAGACAGATTAATTTGTTAAACATTTATTTTATTTCAACGATATTATGAAGATACTGCTTACCAGTGCAGTCTGTCTCTTTCCTGCTCTCAGTAATACAAACGAGTGAATAAATGTGTAAAAATACAGACATATTAACTGTCATTTTAACACGATCAAGTGATTTTTTTCCCCCCGTTTTTTTCTTCATCTGAACACATTTAACTCTGTCCTAATATTTACACTTCTCCTTAAAATGTATAGCATATGTGGCTGTATGGGCTGCTTTTCGCTGTACTTCGTGACATAAAAAAAAATATTGAATGTTTTCTCTATCCATGATGGAGTTTGCAGGCATTTAGACTTGTCCCTCACGCCTAATTTCTGTCGTCTGTTACTAAGGTAGGCGGACTGTGTGCACACGAGTAATACACTTATTTAAATAAGTCTTGTGATAATCCTATGTAGGCAAATTTATACATACAGTTTTAAAATATTTACAACAACTGTAAAGCAAAACAGATGTATTACCCACATATGGGTATGGATTATAATATAACAAACAAAGAGATTAACTATTTGTCACGGAGCATATTTCTAAAAATAATTTGGAAAAGTCGTCTGTAGCTGGGTGGTGCTGATGTCACAGGCAAGCGTCCTAAAGGCGTTGTAGTCCGTTTATAGCCTTATGTTAGCTTTCAGTTCTTGCGTTTGCATTCAAGATCCAAAAGTGCTCAAAGTTGTATTTTGAGCACTTTTGGATTAAATTTTTTTTTTTTAATTAATGCAAAAACTGAAATGTTTTTACAGTGAAACAATTTAAACTATGTCTGGCTTCATTATGCTTCGTCATTCATAAAAAAACAACACGCATATCAGTTCTTAAATAAGCAGTTCTACCTGTGGAGACAGAGGGTTTGTTTGAGCCAGGCTGCTCTGGCTATGAATGGACGACTCCATATCGCTGTCAGATAATTCACTCCCGGACCGTGTCGACAACACACTGCTGGTCATACATCCGGGACCCATAGAGTAAAACATCTCTAAGAGAAAAGAATGTCTATGATCAAAACACAACAAATTCTGGCAAAACAGAGTTATGCTCAGTGTCATCATCATCCTTTAGAAAGCATCTTATTGTGCACATTTTGATAATTATAATCATTGATACAGTTTCGCTGCCAACTATGTGGTAACCATTAATGTGGCCGGCATTTCATTCATTCATTTTCCTTCGGCTTAGTCCCTTTATTCAACAAGGGACGCCACAGTGGAATGAACCGCCAACTTATCAAGCATATGTTTTACACAGTGGATGCCCTTCCAGCCACAACCCAGCACTGGGAAACATCCATACACTCTTACAATCATACACCACAGCCAATTTAGCTTAATCAGTTTACCTATACAGCATGTCTTTGGACTGTGGGGAAAACCGGAGCACCCAGAGGTAACCCACGCAAACATGCAGAGAACATGCAAACTCCACACAGAAATGCCAACTGACCCAGCCGAGACTCAAACCAGCGACCTTCTTGCTGTGAGGCAACAGTGCTAACCACTGAGCCACCATGCCACCCTAGTTAAAATTGTTTTAGTATAGTATATATGAACTTAAATGTATGATCTTTCTATTCCCAAAGATGTTTGGTAACCAAACTCTTATTTTATTGGATAAAACGACACAATAAATCTGTTTCGTTTTAATGCACTAAAAATTACTGGCTATTTTTATTGAGAAACTGTTAAAGGTGCAGTAGGTGATTGTCTTCAGAAACATTTTTTGTTGTGCTGGTTGAAAATCTCTTCACAGTCCAATAGTAATGATTACAGTAAATGATCTAAATGTGTTTATATGTATTTTTATATTCAGGTTAAAGCATAAAACTAAAAAATGTTCATCCAATTAAATAGAGTCGGACCGTCATCTCCCTTAATTCCGATAGGCAGGTCAGACTGTTTGTCAACAAATGTAGATTCCGACTTCTGCGTATGTGTTCAAGCAGATACGCCATTAGCGAGTGCCCGTCTGCATCACAAACGCATGCGCGCAAGCGAGCTGCGGGCCGCCCGCAGATGCCGAGTCGGAGCCGGAGGCGTCGAAGGACAGCCGAGCTCGGGCCGATTACTGTAAAGCCAGGCGCTGGTATAATTCGCCCTTAAAGCGGCCACGCGGTCATGAGACGGACCGGGAGAAATCAAAAGCTGCATTGAAACTTTTGAAAATCCTTAATCAGTATTGGAGTTACTTTAGCACGCTGGAGAAAGGACGAGACCATGGCTGAAGTATTACTGTTAGACAGGTAATGTTCTGTTTTGAAACTATTTTTGTCAGGCTAAGCTTATGTTAGATTGTGTTCTGTTATGAATGACTTCTATGCACAGACGTGTTGTTCAGCCACTGAAATCTCCCAGTGAAAGATTGATGTGATTATTTTCAGTTTCATAAGGTTCTTTGACAGCAGCTCTAATGTAGATTTATATTTAGTTTAACAACAATACACCAGTAAATAGAGCTATTCCGCCTAACCTGTTTTATTGAGCTGAAGTTACTTTTATATTCACATTGGGTCATTTTTGAACAATGACGGCCTTTCTATACTGTTTACCGCTAACGTTAATCTGAATATTCGCTCTGAAATAGCATGCAAGTGTGGCAAAGTATTTCATGTAATTCCTGCACGGCGCTGGCACTAACTAACTGGCGAATGACATGAACTAGTGGGTTGTCTGTCGGCTGTTGTGACGCGGTCCGCGCGCTCGCGATATCAGGGGATGTGGCTTTGAATCACAGTCCCTCCCCGCCGTCCAAAGATAATATGCCAAGCGGTTAGCATTTGGGCAGATCACCTACTGCACCTTTAAAAGCATTCATTTTCAAAGCGAGTGAAGGAGCCTCAGACAAACACACACACACAAAAAAAATCTCCTCACCTCCGTTCTCCAGGGTTTGTACATAGGGCTCTGCATCCAGCTCCAGGTCTCTGTCATACAGTTCTGAGTTCAGCTGCTTACTAAGATCCTCTTCAATCAATCGGAGGTCATCAGTACCAAGGGGCCTGGAAACCCCTCCACCAGACACAACTCCACCAGCACTGCCTTCTGATAGACAAACAGACAGACAAACAAAGAGAAAGAGAGCAATGTAAAAATAATGTTTTTATAACAGCCCCTTTGCAAAACCCTTCCCGACCCCCTTGCTATGTCTGACAAATTTTTTGGACATGTTGGGGTGAAAAAAAAAAATTACACTTTGGCTGTGTCCGAAACCGCCAACTACTCAGTAGGTACTGCATTTGAATTTAAATGTACTACTCGGCCGTTGGAAAAGTACGTTCTATACAGTAGGAATGTGAAAAGTGGAATTCGGGCGTACTACATCCGCCATTTTGTCATAGTCAAGTGACATACCTGCGTCATTTGCGTCGCTTCACTTCCATTCTCTCGAAGGGCATTATGGGATAGCGCAGTGTGCATGGGATGTGCACTCCAGAATCTCGCCGAAAGTAGTAAGTCATCCGGGTACTTCTGGCATACTGAATTTCGAATTCTATGAATTCGGGCATACAACTCGGCTTGCATACTGATTTTAGTATACTATATAGTATGGAAGTATTTAGCTTCGGACTCAGCCTTTCACTGGGGTCGATGAACATGCTGGGACATTCACTTGGATTTCTGGATGGCACCTCTTTTACCCCTTTTTCAAGATTTAATAAGTCTTTTGTGTCTCCAGAATGTGTCTGTGAAGTTTCAGGTGAAAACCCATCAGATTATTTATCATACCTTTTAGGATATTGGAATTTTCAGCTTTAAACGCAATGTAGCTGTTTTTGTTGCTTGTGCTTTTAATGCTAGTTCTTCCCGCCCACCGTTTCCCCTTGCCTGTCAGAGTGTGCCTCATCAGATAAACAGCACAGTGACAGACATAAAGGAAGCAGATCTCTCATATCTCTCTCGTGTGGAGTTAATTCAAGCCTTTCTGCGACGATGAGTCACACACAATATCGTCATTCACGCACATACACACATACACACACAGAGCGCGCATTTAACTTTGCACTGTTTTTGCACAGCAAATGTGACAGGATAAACATTAATATCCACTGCTTTATGGATATCCATTTTGTTAATGTACAAAATAAACTGCATTTATTGTCCACGTCAGTTCTTGTTGATATGACTCTATGTATTACTATGGGCCCTATCATAAACCCGGCACAATGTGGCGCAAGGCGCGACGCAATGGTTGTTGGCTACTTTCAACTCGAAGCAAGAGTTGTTTTGACGTTTTGCACCACGCTGTTTAAATAGCAAATGCATTTGCGCTTATATGTGAACCCATAGGTGTTTTAGGTGGTCTAAAAAAGGAGGTGTGTTAGGGTGCATTGCTGGCGCGTTGCTATTTTGAGGAACTAAAATACATTGTTCAATAGACCAGCCGAGAGTAGGTCTGAAGTCTAGCGTAGTTAGGTCTGAAGTAGAGCGTTGTTATTTGTGCGCCTCACTTAAACATTGCTTAATACACACAGTGTGTACAGCAATACACAAGTATCTTTACAAATGAAAAAAATTAAAGGATTAAAATATTACAAAAATTATTATTTTTTACATAAATATAAAAACTACTGCCTCAATGCCTTCTATATCTCAGGGGGCTTTTTTAGTTTATTCATGACAATTTGCTTTTGTATAATGTGATTATTATTATTACTTATTATATGCATATTTATATTTGTTTTTTATAAACAAAGCTTAGATTTGCCCACCTGTCAAGTTTTAGACCAGGACGTGTGTTTGGATATAACTCAGTTGTTTGATCACACTTCATTATTACTGTTAATTTATTCGTTTGCTGGAATTTAGAACTGAATTTAGAAATAGTTTTGAAACAAATCTTTGCGCTTAACAAATAAAATTAATTATGAAGGGCTAATGGATGTGTGCATACAGCACGTTTCCTTATCCACGGAATAGAGTGAAAGTAAAGAATAAGGAGTCTCATCTCTCATTCTCGCCCTGCAGATGCTCTCTTTAACTGTTTTATTGCTAGTGGAATGCTCAGTTTTTCCACAAAGTCTGCCATGTAAATAGCAAATGTGCTCATGGCGCGACGCAACTGCCTCTTAAAGGGAATGGGAGAAGAGAGTCTGATTGGTTTTTTCTTAAAACACACCTATAACTCATTAAGAGAATAAGCACAACCATGCTAGACCATGCGCCGCGACGCAAAGTAGATTTTTACATGGTTAAAATAGCAAAAGTGGATTCTGACACGCCCTGAATGCTTTTGCGCTCTGCACTTTGGACTTTGTGCCTAGATCGTCAAAATAGAGTCCTATGTTAATACGCAGCAGTTAATCAATTTGGTGGGCGGGGAAACCACAATCCTACATCACGTTGTGGTGGGCCTCAAAATGGGAGGGATTTAGATCCTATTTTTAATCTCAGGAAATTAAAAAAAGAGACTTATTGTGTTTCTATAACCCCAATATGACTGTTGACACACTATACCTGACACACAGTTCTGTCCAAACAGCTTACAAAAGATAATTTTCATCATAGTTACCCTTTAAATAGATAGTTCGTTCAAAAATGTAGGGCGCACACACACTATGCTATCTGAATCGTGCCCAGGCCCGTTTCCCGGATCGTTTGGGAAGTGTGAGTGCTCTGAATCTGGCTCAGTCGTGGTTCAGTTGGCGCTTCTTTAACTGAACAGCGCATCATCGATGACGTAAGCGTGGTTCGGGTTGGATACAATGTGAGTGCGGGCCGTGGGAGGAGATGGGAGGGCGGACAAGCGTGCTTCAGCACGGTTCAAGGCAACTATACATAGTGTGAGTAATAAATGTCCTGTTAAGACCGGGACAGTTCAGTTCAGTTTCCTTTGTTTTGTCATTCAAAACATCACAGTTGATGTAATGCAGAACGGGACACATGACACACTGGGAAAGATGAATGAAGGTCATGTTTTGGAACACCATCAGGGTGAGTAATTGAGTTTGCATTTATTTGTACTTATCTTTTAAACATAAATACAAAAAAATGAATATGTTGAATCTATAACAGTGTTAATTTCGTTGACGAAGACTATGACGAAAAATATTCGTCAACGAACATTTTTTACAGACGAAAACTAAATAAAAACTAAATAAAAAGTCAGATACGATGACGAAGACGATGACGAAATTTAACTGACACTTTAGTCAACGAATAAAAACGAGAGGAAAATGTTGGGGCGGGACGAATGGAGAAGAGATCCAATAAGAACTACCCTTTTGTGGGGAAATCCAATCAGAGCAAATCTTTTGAGGGCAGGTTGATCTTGGCAAAGCCATTTTCAAAACAAAAGCCGCGGTTTTCAAGTTATGATGACGTTTGTTATACATTATATTTAGTTACACATTATACTTGGTTACAAAGCGTTGGTTAATTTAAGTTGACTTTTCTCGTTAGCAACACGCTAAAGTTTTGTTCACTCGGTCCGAGGGCAGCGTCTCATGAACAGACAGACAGAAATGTCAGAGCTTGGTCTAGGACGAAAACGAAGAATTGACATCTGGTCAAACTTCACATATGACAACAAGGACAACAAGAGCGTCTGTAAACCATGTGGAGTAAAAATCGCTGGGAAAAACACCACCAACTTGAAGCGACATTTACAGACGGCTCATCCAGAAATCCACACCAAGGTAAGCATAAACGCTAACGTTAAGGTTATCCTATAAGATAAACCACCGTGATTCTGCTAAACTTGGAATAAAATTGAAGCCAAAGGAAATTAACTTTAAATAGTATTGATTAAACGAATTGTCTCGCTGAATTAATTAATATAAATATGTGTACTATTATAATAGATGTTGTGGTGATATGACTCGACAAAAGGTGTGTGTGTGTGTGTGTGTGTGTGTGTGTGTGTGTGTGTGTGTTATATGGCAAGAAAGAAGAAAATATCACAACTTTGTATATCATTTATATATCCTCATAGATACAGAAGATGTCTGATGACCATGGGCCAGGTGGAAATAAAGCTAGTGATGCTACTATGCTACTAGTACAACACAGCAGCAGGCCATCTCAGATTTCCTAAGGTCTTCAAAGTACAAGACTGAATCAAAGGAACAACAGACCAAGGAGCAGGCCATAGCTAGATGGATTGGACGGACAGGTTTACCACTCACAACAATTGAGGATGAGGACTTTGTGCTAATGATGGGGATGATAGATGGGAGACTAACAGTTCCAAAGAAAACTAAAATTAGCAATTTAATTAAAACACAGTATGAATGCTGTACTTTATCTTGAAAGAATGTCATATGCGTTTCATATAATTCAGGGACAATGCATATCTTTTTCAGGGAGCATGTATATTGTTCAGGGAGAGCAGGTCTTGTGGTTATTTTTTGTGAAAAAGACTCATGTTTTTGACATGTAATAAAATGTTTTTATTATAACAATTAGATATGTGCCTATATTCTATATATGCTTCCATATATTATATTATACTTACAATTACATGAATTATGGAGAAAAATCTGCTAATATTTGGTCTACTAAAACTAGACTAAGACTAATAGACTTAAGACTAAACTAAGACTAAAACTCTTATGATATTTAGTCAACTAAACTAGACTAAGACTAAAAGATTTCAGATGACTAAAATAGGACTAAAACTAAATGGTGTATTATTCCAAAGACTAAGACTAAGACTAAATCAGAATTTGCTGTCAAAATTAACACTGATCTATAATATAAAATAAAAAACAGACTGCTAATGTTACCTGATGTCTCAATACAGAGGGAAGACAGGAGGTCCGTGAGGTGCGTGATCTGACTGGGTGACAGCAGCAGGTGGAGACACCCGACTTTCCCATCCAACTCAAACTACGAGAAAAAAGACATCATTCAGAACACAGTTGGCTGTGGATGCACATTCCATTAATCCATGTAAAGGCAGAAAAAGCTCATCGCTTGATTTAATTACCTCAAAAGAATCAAGATTATCTATCACTTATAAAAATTCATATGGAGTCTTTTTAATTGTATATTGTGCACACAAACCTTGGGCCCAGGCAGCATCTCATTCTGTTTAACTTTAACTGTTGTCTCTATGAATCCAGAGCACTGTCCAATCAGCAGAGGCTCAGGGGTCTTCTGGGTGGGATGCAACGATTTAGGGGCATCATCAACTTCTTCATCTTCATCTGATTTATTCGTCTCCCTGCTGCTCGTCATGTCATCGGGATGAATCACTCCCTAATGGATAAGTTTAATGACACTGTTAGCTGCGCACACTATTATCTGTACACATTTAGCAGGTTCTTTTAACCAACCTGACTCACAAATCAGGAGTATTACAAAAAAGAAATTTGCCATCAGAGTCGACAACATTCACAGTACGCAAAGTTTAGTTTAAAGCAAAATTCGAGTGATACATAAGCTAGCGCAGAAGTGAAATACAGAGGAAAAAGACTGACCTGAGATCCTCCCAGGGTCTCGTAGAGCAGCTTTACAGAGTTGAGCTGGAGGATCTTGTGCAGGAAGGCTGGTGGCTGGTGGATGTCTACAGGCACTGTCTGGCTTGAGTCTCTCACAGCCTCATCGCAATAATCCACCCTGCAGTACCACACAACACCACCAGGTGAACAAAACACAAGAACGGACACAAACAATGGAAAGCCCCCTCTGGGAAAGTGTTTGTTTTGAAAGAATATCATTGATGATGTGTATTTTTAGCTAAAGCATTGGATGTGATGAGAGGATTTATAAAGAGTATTGTGGCATAATATGGTTTTCAATAACATAAGCCACTCTTACTCTTTTTCAATGTGCTTCATCTCTAAGTTGGACTACTTCCAATAAATGTCTGTTCTTGAACTTTGCAAAATCTGACCAAAGTGTAAAAACTTTATGGTCAAATTTTGTATAGCATATATAGATCTAGATATGTATATACACACCATTTTTCTCAGAAAACATATTTCTAAAGGTGTAGTTGACATGAAATTTTCGCCAGATGTTGGTAACAACCAAAGAAAAACATATATGAAAAGAAAACAAACCTTATTCGTTTACAAATGAAGTAATGTGTAATAAAATGAAATAACTCAGGGGAAAAGTATGGAACACATGAAGAAAGGGAGGTGTAGAAAGGCAGTGAAAGCCCAGACAGCAGCTGAAATCTCTCAGTATTTCTTCAGCAACCTTCTGCCCTTCCTCATTGTAAATTAATATTCACTGCATCAGTCCAACATCTACATAAGAAGGGTGATGAAGATAAAACAAGCGTGGACATTTCAGCAAGACAATGATCAAAAACACAGCCAAGGAGACTCTCAAATTGTTTCAGAGAAAGAAAATCAAGCTGTAGAATGGCCCAGCCAATCACCTGACTTGAATGACTTGAGTAGAAAATACAAAATAAAGATTTAATAGACGAGACACAGACGAGACCCTCTTTAGAGATTCTCCTTGTGTCATTACACTGTTATTACACACAAAACGAAATCTGATCTTTTTGTTTTATTTTTAGGTTTGTATAGTTTGAGTTTTTACCAAAATCTGGTTCAATTCCATGTCAACAGCAACAGAGTACAAATATGTGGATGTTTCCCAGAGATGGGTTGCGGCTGGAAGGGCATCTGCTGCGTAAAAACTTGCTGGATAAGTTGGCGGTTCATTCCGCTGTGGCGACCCCGAATTAGTAAAGGGACTAAGCCGACAAGAAAATGAATGAATGAATGATACAAGATTACTAGTTATGCAGTTTATTTTTCAATTCACATGTTCATAACAAATGATACATTATTTAATATGTATTACTTAGTCAATCATGATTGTTATTTATAAAGATGCAATTTGTAATCATTTATAATCAATCATAATAATTCTATAAATGATCTGTCACGTTTTTTCTTTTCTTTTTTTAAATAAATGATTGTTTAGAAATGTGAGTTGGAAGATCAGTTAAATTTGCAACAAACCATTTATAAATGCATAATAAGCACATCTTTATATGGAAAGTTTGCATTCTGTTTTCACTATATCATAAATGATGCATTAATAAAAGTTAGTAACTGTATTATGACTCAAAACAAGTATTTAAAAGGCTTATCAAAAATATAAAACCATTCATTTATTAGACAGAACAAAATCTGTTCATCTGTGTTACCATGGCATAACAACATTTTAACATTTCAAACTACATCTTTATAAATATGAATACAATCATGACTGACTAATTAATACTTAGAAATCATGTATAATGTGTAATAAACATAAAAAAATGAAATGCATAACTAGTAAGTATTACTAACACTATTTTAAATGTAGATGTAACAGTCATTATAATACAATATAAGGTTTGTTGTGTCCTTATACAGTAGATACATTAATAAAATTGTTATGATTCATCAACAATTATAATTCATTGTAAGTATGAGCTTCATCAAAAGTGTTACTGAAACTTCTTTCAAAAACATAAAAGGTTCATTTTTTTAACTGTATCTGTTTTTTCACAATTACATTTTTCTTTACAAGAATGCAACAAATGTATTCCACATTTACCTATTTTATTTAATAAATATACAGACAATACACAATTCCAAGACTAACATAATCTATGGCCTCACCGTTTAATGCGCATCTCTAAGGCAACCCCAGTCTCATGGTCCAGGGAATGGTGTTCTACTCGCACTATGGTGTCCAGGAAGGTGACTTTTATTCGACGCAGAACTGCACACACACACACAGGCAGGAATAGAACCACACTGAGATTAGGCTTTCAGAGTTTACAGATTCAGAAGTACATACAGTTAAAGTCAGAATTATTAGCCCGCTTTTGAAATTCTTTTCTTTATTTAAATATTTACCAGCAAGGACATTTTCAAAGTATGTCTGATAATATTTTTTCTTCTGGAGAAAGTCTTATTTGTTTTATTTCGGCTAGAATAAAAGCAGTTTAAAAATTTTTAAAGACCATTTTAAGGTCAAAATTATTAGCCCCTTTAAGCTATATATATTTTTAAATAGTCTAAAGAACAAACTATCGTTATACAATAACGTGCCTAATTACCCTAACCTGCCTAGTTATCCTAAATAACCCAGTTAAGCCTTTAGATGTCACTTTAAGTTGTAAGTGTCTAGAAAAATATCTAGTCAAATATTATTTACTGTCACCATGGCAACGATAAAATAAATCGGTTATTAGAAATGAATTATTAAAACTAGTATGTGTAGAAATTTGTTGAAAAACAAAAACCTTCACTTCGTTAAACAGAAATTAGGGGAAAAAAACAAACAGGGGGGCTATTAATTCATGGGGATTAATAATTCTGGCTATATTTTTATGCAAATAAATGTAAACCCCTTTTTAGCATATTCAAACAAGAACTGGAACAGTAGTATCATACCATTCAACATCTAGAAGCTCAAGAGTGGTTTAAACTCCTAGAATTTGTGCTTATTGCTTTGTTTAATTAGCCTATTTATTTATGTTTATTTCCTTTTCATGTGCCCTTTTCGTTTCCCCATTTTTTTTCTCATTATACTTTTGTTATAGGCTACTTACATTTTATTAATAATTCCCTTGTTGTGAAAAATGAACTATAGTTTGTAGAGATTATATTCAGTTTTATTTGTACTGTAAGTCTTTTGTTGTTATTGCAAAACCATGTGATCTGTCATGACTGCAGCACACTACAAGCCCCAGTGTCCAACCTGATGGCCCGTTTTCAACTCCGCCCCCGCCTGCACTCAGCTAATCTTGTTGATTGCCAGCTGCAGCCGTGCTTCATGTCGAAGGCAGCTAATATTACACAGCGCTGTTACCTTGCTGGGTGGGGACTATTTTTCTGTCCGTCTTAGTACACAATTTAACTACAGAAGAATCAAGGTTTAAATAGGTACAATATCAAAACAATTTTTTTAATTTTTATGCTCAAGATGCTAATGGTCTAATCTGATTCAATGATTTATGCTAAGCTAAGCTAAAAGTGCCCCCACCAGAGCAGGAGATCATCTGAATGGATTCAAAAAGGAAAAAACTCAACTGTCTAAGTCTAGGGGATGTGCAAAATGAGTGTTCTTTTAATAACTGAACAGAACTGTTTTTTATTAAATAGGAATACTTTAAATAAAACAAACTAATTATATATAAAAGTAATTATAAAAATAAAAAATATATAAATATATAAAATAAATAAAAGTAATTATATTAAATTACAACTAGCACATCTATTAAGGAAGTCAAGGGAACAATGTTCATTATAACAGTTATTACAGATATATTGTTTACCTCAAAACTTAATTAAAAACATGCTTTATTGAACAAAAGGAGAAGAAAACAAAACTACTAATACAAGTGCAAATGTTCACAAGCACATTCCTAGAAACACACACACACACCTGTCTCAATGGTCTGTGCAAACATTTCCAGCCCCTCCAGGGGAGCAGGTGGCTCTTCTGACGCCTCGGGTGGGTCCTTCAGGCACTCCTGGGCCAGCTGCATGCTGGATGTCATACAGGATGACCACCCTTGGGAATCCCAGCTTCCGTCTAACAAAAGAACAAACTATTAAACACTCCTGAATGAAATGCATGCTATCAACCAAAAGGGTTACTGAACTCACTGGTTCTGTATTTGGGTCGGCATGTTATTTGCAGTCCAGTGATTTCAAGAGTGCAGTGTTCTGTCACGAGCGCCGCCCAGGGAATAGTCACTGCGATGCTGTTCACAAAACCTTCAACAATCTCCAGAGGAGCTCCCAGAGAATCCAACAACTCATTCACAGCCTGAAAAGGAGATTCAGAGTACAGTTAGAAAATTAAAAAATGATCTAATATAAGAACAGAAGCAAAAATGAATGCGAGGATGCCCAAATTTGATCATTAATATGACCCCACATTAGCCATGGGGAGATGGAAACGTGAAAAAAAGTTTTTTAAAAAACGCCAAAATGTTCTGCTATACCTTTCCTACGGTATAAGGCTGGGCCGGAAAACGATATTATAACGAGTCACAATAAATATATGTCATTAACAATGATGAGCTCTGGACCTTTTCACTCTATAAAGATCTAAGAGCCAATCACACAGAAATGTGCAACAAAGGGAAACGAAAAGTGAGTTGATATTAGAAATGAACCGAATCTTAGTCCACAGGAAATTTATTGGCCAAATGTTATGCCAATTAATGGACCCTCAATGGAGTCTATGATTAATTCGAATTATTTAGCCTGACACCAGGGCCGGAGTGGGACTCATTTTTAGCCCTGGAGTTTCAAGCCGGACTGGCCAACCTCAGTTCACGACTGTCTATATTAAAATAAGGTCATTTCCAATTCAGTTTCACTATGACTAGTGACACTATAACGTCTTTTTCAAGAAAACAGCTGCTTTAGAAATTCAAATGTCCAAAAGCCCAACAGTATTATATGTCTTAACAATAAAAATGAAACAAAAAATATCTATATATATTTTTCAGGTGAGATTCGATCACGGGTCGGACGACATAGTGACGCAACGTGTTTACCACTGGCCCACTAAAGCGCTAATGCAGTGAGTAGAAAAAAAAGCATTGGACTGTGACCTGCAAGCCACAGTATTACTTTCTATTGATGGCTTAATCTTTTTCTCCCCTTTTTAGATTTCTGATCAAGTTATGTCAGATTTATTAATGTAGTGAATCATCTGATTTTCCTTGAGCAGGTGTATTATTCATTAATATTAATTATTCGAATTCGCTGTTTGGGGTCGAATAATGATAGTTAACGTTATAATAATCAATAATCATCATTAACGTTAGTTAACCTGCAGGCTGCATTTTGCTCACGGGGCTGTGAGAAAATATATATGAGAAGCGGCGCTGCGGCGAAATAATGGATAAAAAGAGTGAAGCTTTGGTCAAATAAATAAATAGATGAAAAAAGTGCGACTGCTGAGAGTGCAAGCAGCTAGGGACACCGGCCATCACGGCCAAAAAAACGGACCGGCCCACCGGGAATTCTCCCGGTGCTCCCGATTAGCCATCCGGGCCTGCCTGACATGTTTCCTCTTCCAAAATATTTTAAATGCTTCTAAAAAATGTAAATCTATTGTGTTCAAAGAGGAAATTGTTTGTCTTTTACCCAGACATTCAAAAAGAAATATTTTACAGCAGTAACCACAATACCGTAAAATCGTGATGTTTTTAATCCGAGGTTATCATACCGTCAGAATTATATACCGGCCCATGCCTACTCCCCACCCTAACAAATTAAATATAAAACAATAGTTTATATTATTTAGGTATTTATAAAAATGTAGACAGTAAAGATTCAAATACATATAACACTTTTGATTTACGGGCAGCACGGTGGCACAGTTGGTAGCACAATCGCCTCACAGCAAGAAGGATGCTGGTTTTAGCCCTGGCTGGGTCAGTTGGCATGAGTGGAGTTCGCATGTTCTCCCCATGCACACGTGGGTTTGCCCACAAGTTAAAAAACATGTGGTATAGGTGGATTGGGTAAGCTAAATTGTCCGCAACGTATGTGTGTGAATGAGGTTTTATGTATGGGTTGCAGCTGGAAGGGCATCCGCTGTGTTAAACATATGCTGAATAAGTTGGCGGTTCATTCCGCTGTGGCGGCCCTAGATTAATAAAGGGGCTAAGCCAAAAGAAAATGAATAAATGAATTAACTTTAATTGCATGTTTTTATTATTCCCTTAATGATGCATTTATCTAGCTATTTTATTATTTAAGTATTATTTTACTTTACGGTTTTTCACAAGCACACTAGTAGGCCCCAATTATACAAGATGACTAGATCAGGGGTTCCCTTAACCTATTAGCCCGCGACCCCCCATAAAAAAAAAAAATAAGGTCAAGAATCCTGGTGTGATTTTGGAGTCAGATCTGAGTTTCTGTAATTATGTCAAAACAGTAACTAAATCAGCATACTATCCTCTCAAAAACATTGCAGGAATTAGATGCTTTGTTTCCAGTGAGGACTTTGTTTCCAGAGGAGAAACTTGTTCATGCTTTTATCAGCAGCAGGGTGGATTACTGTAATGGACTCCTCGTTGGCCTTCCCAAAAAGACAGTCAGACAGTTGCAGCTCATCCAGATTACTGACTAGAATTCTGACCAGAACCAGTAAATCAGAGCATATCACACCTGTCCTCAGGTCTTTACAGTTACATTAAGAATAGCTTTTAAAGTATTATTACTCATCTATGAATCACTAAATGACCTAGGACCTCAATACGTTACAGATATGCTCACTGAATACAAACCTAACAGATCACTCAGATCATTAAGATCATATAAATTAGAAATTCTAAGAGTTCAGGGTGAATCTGCCTTCAGCTACTACGACACCTACGGATGGATCAGTTTCAAGAAATGAGCAACTAATCTAACATCAGGCACATTCAAATCAAGACTGAACTCACATCTGTTTAGCTGTGCCTTTACTGAATACGTACTGTGCTACGTCCGACAGATCACACTATTATGCCTTTCTTTTCTTTTTCATTCTTTTAAAACCTGTTTTAACACACTTTATTCTGTTTTTAGTCATTTTTAATTCTATAATTATTTGTATTTATGTAAAGCACTTCGAATTACCATTGTGTATGAAATGTGCTATACAAATAAACTTGTCTTGCCTATGTAAACATGAGCATATTGACAACACAAAAATGTAACAGTCTAATAACCTTTTAATAGTCATTTATTAATTTAATTTAATATTAACCTCAAATATTTTGGTTTTGACGTATTAGAGTGTCATAAAGGTTGTCAGAAAGTTTAACATGGCCCTGCAAAATCAATCTGCTGACGCTCTTGCTGTGTGGTTAATCTAAACACACCAGGGGTCACAATCCAATGAAAAGAAAATTGAAAGGCTGATAGATTTTTATGTTGTTGTTTCCTTAATGTAACTATTAAATATCTTCTGTAAATTATGAATTAAACATGGTAATTCTAATAGTTTATTAAAATTTACTTGTGTTTTGAAAATCACCAAGCGACCCCTTGTCATTGCCCCACAGTCCTTACTTTGGGAACCACTGGACAGAATCACAAAACCTTTTACACATTATTTATTTTATTCATTCATTTTCTTTTTTGACTTATTTCCTTTATTAATCTGGGGTCCCCACAGTGGAATGAACCGCCAATATGTCCAGCATATGTTATACACAGCTGATGCCCTTCTAGCTGCAACTTATCACATTACTTTATTATTTCCTTAAATATTTACTTAAAAAGACTTTTAAACAGACATCCCAGAACTCCTGGGATCCCTGGGGGTCTCTAGACATCAGTTTTACACGATCACATCACAAAACATAACAATAATTATATGATTATTCACCTAACCATTTAGTCTACTTACTTTAAACGTTGTATTTTATTGTGTAAACCTTTTCAAAGACACCTAGCAATCCTATACAGCCCCCTGAGAGTCTCTGGACATCAGATTTACAAGATGATATCTAAAAACATTTAAAAATTATATTACTATTCCCTTAACTGTTTAGTCTACTTAATTAAAAGATTAATTTATTTGTGTAACCCCCCCAGCACTTCTATACAGGCCCCTGGGGGTCTCTGGACATCAGTTTTATTGGGAAATTGCAAGTTTGGTATAGGCTTGGCATTGCTACTTTTAGTTTAATTTAGAAAGGGAAGTAGATATGTATGACAGAAATGTTTTCAGGAAATCTCAGATATGTACGGTCTGGACAAATGTGATTTCTTTATGTACCTGCAAACCAGGACCTACTTTAATAGTGAGATTAGGTGTCTGGAGAACCATCCTCCCAACATAATTGAGTTATTTATTGACATCTATTAGAGCAAAGACAATATGGGACTATAAAAATTGCATTCTGCCATCCAATCCACCAAGGAACACTCGACAAGTGACATCAGACTAAAATGGGAGAGCAAAAACAACCTAGTTATCTCAGAGGAAGATTGATTGAATATCTGCTCAGTACAGGCCACTTCTTTCAGTTCTGGTATGTGGCGAGATTTTTGCTGGAGGAATCTTACCAGATACTTTATAACCCCCAAGTTAAAATGCAAGCAAACATGGGGGAAGGATGGGGGACAGTGCTGGAGGAGATGCAGGGAAGACTTAGCAAACCATTTTCACATATTTTGGAGTTGGCCAGCTATCATACTGGCAGGATGTAATGCAAGTTATGCAAAATATTTCTGGTGATGGAGTGGACTTTTCTTTTACAACAATTTATCTAGGAAATATCACAGGCAACTCAATGGTAAAAGACAAGTATTTGTTAAAAATACTTCTAGCAACCAGTAAGAAAACTGTAACTCGAAAGTGGCTACAACTGGAACCCCCTACAAAATGAATCAGAATGATAGGATATTTCATCTAACGTTCAAAATATGGAGAGGATGACTTTTTCTTTGAAACTACAAACGAACAAATATCTGGAATACTGGGAGAAATGTATGGCACTTATGCCTTTACACAGTGTAAACTGATCTTTATATGTATTTGTTAATGTGACCTGTAAGGAAATTTGTGACCAATCAACTGTTCATTAAAGTCCCTGTGTGTTATTGTATTTTTTGTTTATTATTATTTTTATTTTCCTTAAAAAAAAAAAAATAATATATATATATATATATATATATATATATATATATATACATACACATATACATATATATATATACATACACATACACATATACATATATATATATATATATACACACACACACACACACACATATATATATATATATATATATATATATATATATATACATATATATATATATATACATATATACATACATATACATACATATATATACACACACACACACACACACACACACACATATATATATACATATATATACACACACATATATATATATATATATATATATATATATATATATACACACACACACATATATATACACACACATATATATATACACACACATATATATATATATATATATATATATATATATATATATATATATATATATATATATATATATATATAGCACTTCTATAAGGGCCCCTAGCGGCCTCTCATCACATCACAAAATATTTAAATATTGTATTATTATTCCTTTAACTATTTAGTCTACTCACTTTAAACATTGCATTTAAATGTGTAAACCTTCTTTTAAAGACACCCCAGCACTCGTATACGGGCCCCTGAGGGTCTTTGGACATCAGATTTACAAGATGACATCTCAAAACATTTAAAAATTATATTATTATTAGCTTAACTGTTTAGTCTACTACATTAAAAGATGTATTTATTTGTGTAACCCCCCAGAACTTTTATACAGGCTCCTGGGGATCGCAAGTTATGCAAAATATTTCTGGTGATGGAGTGGACTTTTCTTTTACACCAATTTATCTAGGAAATATCACAGGCAACTCAATGGTAAAAGACAAGTATTTGTTAAAAATACTTTTAGCAACCAGTAAGAAAACTCTAACTTGAAAGTGGCTACAACTGGAACCCCCTACAAAATGAATCAGAATGATTGGATATTGTATCTAACGTTCAAAATATGAAGAGAATGACTTTTTCTTTAAAACTACAAACGAACAAATATCTGGAATATTGGAAGAAATGTATTGCACTTATGCCTTTACACAGTGTAAACTGATCTTTATATGTATTTGTTAATGTGACCTGTAAGGAAATTTGTGACCAATCAACTGTTCATTAAAGTCCCTGTGTGTTATTGTATTTTTTTTGTTTATTATTATTTTATTTTCCTTAAAAAAATAAAATGTGTATATATATATATATATATATATATATAGCACTTCTATAAGGGCCCCTAGCGGCCTCTGAACATCAGATTTTACAAGATAACATCACAAAATATTTAAATATTGTATTATTATTCCTTTAACTATTTAGTCTACTCACTTTAAACATTGCATTTAAATGTGTAAACCTTCTTTTAAAGACACCCCAGCACTCCTATACGGGCCCCTGAGGGTCTCTGGACATCAGATTTACAAGATGACATTTCAAAACATTTAAAAACTATATTATTATTAGCTTAATTGTTTAGTCTACTAAATTAAAAGATGTATTTATTTGTGTAACCCCCCAGCACTTCTATACAGGCTCCTGGGGATCTCTGGACCTCAGATTTACAAGATAACATCATAAAACAATTCAGAAATTACATTATCATTCCCTTAACCATTTAGTCTACTTACTTTAAACAATGAATTTATGTGTGTAAACATTTTCAAAGACACCCCAGCACTCCCCTGAGGGTCTCTGGGCATCAGATTTACAAGATGACATCACAAAACATAAAAAAAAAACATTTTATTTTTATTCCCTTAACCATTTAGTCTTCTTACTTTAACCTTGTATTTATATGTGTAAACCTTTTCAAAGACACCCCAGCCCTCCTATTTGAGCCCCTTGGGATCTCTGGACATCCATTTTACAAGACAGCATCACAATACATTTAAAAATTATAATATTATTCCCTTAACCATTTAGTCTACTTACTTTAAACATTGTATTTATGTGTGTAAACCTTTTTAATACACTCCATCACTCCTTTATGTGCCCCTTGGGGTCTCTGGACATCAGTTTTACATTATAACATCACAAAACATTTTTAAAAATTATATTATTTCCCTTACCATTTACTCTTCTTACTTTAAACATTGCATTTATGTGTGTTGATCTTTTCAAAGACACCCTAGCACTCCTATACGAGCCCCTGGGGTCTAAGAACCCCAATTTACAATATGACAACATCACTAAACTTTAAACATCCATTTTTATTCACTTAATCACTCAATATACTTACTCTAAAAGTTTTATTGTTATTTTTATTTGACATTTTTCCTCAGACACACAAGCTCTCTTATGCAGGCCCCTGATGGACTTCAGACCCAAAGGATGTTGGTTGACAACTTCAAGAACTTTTCTAAAGATTATTTTATTAGCTAATTTAACAGTATTACTCTTTTCAGTTCCTTAATGTTCTATATTACAACATCACAAACACTTCTAAACCTTATAAAGCCCAAATTTAAAACCTGAAAGCAAAAGCGAAGGCTTGATCACTCTGACTGAAAACCAGGAAGAGGATCTAAATTCTGCACAGGTCATCAAACCCTAAAACATCATTGTTTAACTAACTTAACAAGATGTGTTGATTTCATACTGAGCACAAGATATTGCGAAACACAGGCAATAATGGCCACATGGACAAGGAAACTGGCCTTGCCACACACTTACCCAAACATCCAGATTAATTTCTCGGATGACCCCACTGCCATTGTATAGATCCAAGCTCAGCTGGTCCAAACTGAGTCTCTCCTCCAAGAAGTGGCCCAGGTAGTGCTGCAGTAGGTACCGACAGGCCCGCTTCTTTATTGAGCCCGACCAGGGGAAGAGCCACCGAGACATGGGGCCAGAGCAGACGGGGAGAGGGAGCTGAGAGGCGGCGGAACACAAGACCAGTCCTGCATAACAGACTTAACCCCCCTCGGTAGTGTGTGGGAAAATGAGAATACAATAATACAAGCGTACTAGGGTGGACAAGAGGGGGGTAAAACCGTCTAACTTCCTGTCCTTTGACACCAAAATCCCCTAGTTCTTCGTTTCTGGACGTAAGGTTGTCCACAGCAGCGTTTAAAAGAGATTGTTTGTGTCGAAACGGGTCACTCCGGTGATGCTTTTAATAATATATGTCACTGAAATATGCGACAGGTCCTCTGTGGTTCCTCTGGCCAACGGGTTGTTTATTGTTTTCATACTCAAGACTGAACGAGTGTACGTCGTGACGTTAGCGCAGGGCAAAGATGCCGGAAGTTGGGTACGTCAACCTACCATATTGGTGCGGTCAGCGACACTATCTGTTGTAGAAATCATTTAGTTTACAGTCTGGAGCTTTCTACTGTGCATTGAGTTTATAATTGTATATGGGAATTTGTCATAGGCTATATAACATACATAACCGTACTATTGCACTACTTTTATTCTCTACACTCAAAAAATGAAGTTCGTTTCTGTTCTGTGTGTTCAAACTATTTATTTAAATGAGCTAAAACACAATTCTTGAGTTTTGGGGGACATACATAAAAATGTATTATTTAACTTAATTGTTTCATGTTGTCCCAACAAAAACCTATTGTGTGGAACCCATCATTTTTGTGTATTAAACGCCCACCCTCAATATGTAGTTTTTATATTATTTCCAGTTAATTCTGGAACACATTTCACATTTTATCATTTTTTATTTGCTGATCTTAAATATGTAAAATTTCTAATATTTTTTCTGAAGTTAAACACAAATTAACAGAAGTGAAATATGACAACTCTGTTATAGGTAAATAAGGTCAAATACAGTATATAACAAATTAAATAGCTTTTAACAATTACTTAAATTCCGCAAATGTTCAAGTAATAAGAAAAAAATAGGCTTAAATAGAGTTGACAGTTTTGTTAACCGAGTTGACATCAATAACAGAGTTGACCACCCATTTGGTGAAAACAAAATACACTTTCTGCCATACTCTGAAACCGGTAAAAGACTATGTAAAAAGAGTGTTTAATCTAAATGACTAAAAGTCTTTCATGAACTTGTAAATTAATATCTGTTTGCATGCAGATCTCATTGTGCTCTGTATTACTGCTTCCTTTCAGCTGATATAATTTTTCTATTTGTTTTCTCAATGATATAATTTTTAGTAAAATGAACTCATTATAAATGTAATATAATGCAAATAATAATGCTTACACGTGAAAGGGGAAAACATTGTCAACTGTTTGATTGTTTACATTTTTAAACCTTTAACAGCTGACATTTCCCATATCTTTTTGCTAATCTCAAACCAGATAATTGTATATTTTAAATATTATTCTTATATTATTCATAATTCCCTAAAATACCACAGAGTTGAAAAAATAATATATTGGTTTAATTCTAAATAATTTGTATTAATTAGTATAATAAAACACATCCTTAGGAGCAAATCACATCCTTTTTCTACTGGGGCTTTAAAGATTTTTTTACAACTAATGTAACACAGTTGACCTGAATAGGAACAGATGCAAAATAATTTTTTAATTACTGAAATCACAAATAATAAAATGGACTATGTGTAAATGTTTTAATAACTTGGATAAATATACAAATAAATATACAAATGTACTTATTTATTCCAAAGGAGGAGACCATTAAAATTAGGTATAAACTACCTGACAAAAGTTTTGTCGTCAATCCCAGTTGTATGAGCAACAAATAATAACTTGACTTCTAGTTGAAAATTTGGAAAAGAGTGGCAGAAGGTAGATTTTTCGGATGAATCATCTGTTGAACTACATTCCAATCATCACATATACTGCAGAAGACCTACTGGAACCAGCATGGACCCAAAATTCTTACAGAAATCAGTCAAATTTGGTGAAGGAAAAATCAAAACTCCTCATACTTCAGCCTCCACATCAAAGTTCCTGAAAGCAAAATTGATCAAGGTGCTCCAGGATTGGCCAGCCCATTTACCAGAATGAACATTATTGAGTATGTCTGGGGTAAGATGGAGGAGGAGGCACTGAAGATGAATCCAAATAATCTTGATGAACTCTGGGAGTTCTGCAAGAACACTTTCTTTAACGTTCCAGATGACTTTATTAATAAGTTATTTGAGTCATTGCAGAGATGTATGGATACAGTCCTCCAAGCTCATGGGAGTCATACACAATATTCATTATTTTTCCACTGCACCATGACTTTATATTCTATACTGTACATTATTTCTGTTAAGTGACAAGACTTTTGTCAGAGCAAAGTCAGACCTTGTTGTCCTAATTAAAAATCAAGGCATGATCATTTTATTTAGGTAAAGTAAGCGTAAACTAGAGGCCTTTGCCTTTTAAAGCCACTTCTGATACCAAATCATCAACTAGAAGTCAAGTTATTATTTGTTGTACCTAAAACTTGAATAAGCGACAAGTCTCTTGTCAGGTAGTGTAGTAGGAGTCTTAATTGTACTCTGTATTACTGCGTCCTTTCTGCTGCTGATATAATTTTACTATTTATTTAATTTAATATTTTCAAGAACAAATGGCCCTAAAAATCTTTTTTAGATATACATTGGTATACTTTATCAACTTTGTTTACATGTAAAACTATTTCATTAAACATGAAATTTTTAATTTCATTCTAATTTCATTTTCCCCAATTCTACAATTAACCATATCTCTGTGTGTGTGTGTGTGTGTGTGTCTGTGAAAGTCAATTTGTGACAAACTGTCGAACAAATCAAAACTCTCTCATAATTGTTCTTCTGGGATGCTTTTAACAGTGCTTCAAGTACAAACTGTGTTTTTATTTTTATTTTTTAAGATTCAATTTTTCATCTCTTGCTCTGTCAGGATTGTGGAGTCATATTTACCAATAACCACAATCATCTTTAATATAGTCATGACTTGATTAGGTATTGATTTCTTGATCTTGCTGAGAAAAACCCATACAAACAAACTTTATTTCTGTGAAAACATCACATTTAACAACAACAAAAGCTCAGCATATTTTAGACATCACAATTAAAACAGAAAAAAGGTGCTTTTAAAATGAATACAGAAAGAGCGTCCCAATGTTATTCACGTACAAACCTGAGGTATAATTTCTTTAAGAAAAAAAAAGACTTAAATAAAATTATAAAATTAATGTAAAACATTTGTTTCTCGTTTCAGTTTGAAACATCAAAAAGTAAATGCTCATTGATCAACAAATACAACTATGTACATGGCCATAGTCTATGCGATTTCTGAATGCTTGTTTTCATTTTATGAAAGCAGCTTCTGGGATCATTCCGTGAGCCTAAAAGTGATGAAAAAATAATACTATTAATAACACTCAGGTCTTAAATGCATGGAAATCACTGTAGTCAGCATACATTTACTGTAGTAGCTTACACAATGCACAAATCATAGTAAATTCAGATCAATCTTTTCGCTTATTCAATAATCAGTTACTCTGGTAAATTATTAACCTAGAGGACTTTTCAATTATTAACAGCAGAATCGTTTAATTCTGAAACAGAACTTATAATAATTGAAGAAAAAAAAAAAAGATTAACCAAATTACATTTTGAATTTGGCTAGGCTGACCAATCAGCTTCATACCTGCAGTTCTGCGAATATCTGAGCAGCTTGCTGAAAATCCCACGCGTTATCCTCCAGACACCTGCCAACACACAAACCTTACCAACTAGGTTGGGATAATATCATAGACAGTAAAATATATGGACGTAGTATCCGTGACGTCACCCATAGGTTTCTGAAGAGCGCAAAAGAAGCCACAAGTAGGCGCGGCCAACCGTCGCCATTTTGTTCACGCGTCATCACACCCACGGCGGGATACCAAACAAGGGCAAATAGGCGGAGAGTGAGCGGAGCTACAGACACCTGCTGACAGTTTGCTTGGACCTGGTTCAGACACAATTTATTTTGGGAGAAACGCTTAATACTTTATCACCTGTGACTCGTTTGTATTCTGACCACTTGTGCTTGGTTGTATACTATATCAATAAAGTGTTTAGACTTTTAAAAACACTGCTGTAATACATTGAGCCACTAAACATTGTTCTTATGACGTTTTTCAACAGGAGGAAAACGCAAATTACTTCCAAACACTTCAGATATAGTCTGTGTTAGTTAATGCAAGACTATTGATGAAATCCAGCATAACACTGTATGACAAGGCTTCAGATGACTGTTCTAGAGCCTACAGCTAATCAATCTGACAGATTCTGGAGTGCATTACAGCTCTAAATATAAAAATAAACGATAAATGATCTTAAATAAAACAAATACATGTATAAAGATGGTATATAAGTATATAACTTTACTCACATGGGAAACGGAGGCCACGTGAATGTTTTGTGAGCACAATTAAGTGCACTCACCGTGACATTCCATCAAATAAATGTAGGAAACCATTCCAAAAGGCAGTTGAGTGTGTAAAACCACATAAAACAACACAGAAATACGATAAATATGCCGAGTTCAGTGGCTAATCTGCAGGATACCACTGAGGTGACGTGACGGCGACCAGTGAGACCTAACTGTCACTCAAGTGGCCACGCCCTTAATTATGCAAACTTATTATAACTCAATATAAAGGAAACAGATGAGTTTTAAAAAAATTCACCCCCCTCACAGTTGTCATGAAGGGTAATATTAGCTGTATTAACCAAAATCTTTTTTTGTACCAGGCTGTAAACACCTTTTTTTCTGCGGTAAAGTTGGCCATTCTAACAGTGGGCTCAATTGAAATTTGCTCTGTTTTGGAGCCAGGAGCGGCCAGGACTAGCGGAATTTCGGATAAATTGCAGTTTTAATTACTTCCGTATTGGCTTCCTGAGGGAGAGCGGGAGGTTGCCGCTTGGATAATATTGACCAGAGGTGGAAAATATGGCTAATTCACAACCATGTGACAATAACTTTTAATTAAAAAAAATGACTACTTTTGAACTCCCTTATGTGAATATGCAGCCGTCTTGCAATCTTTAAAGGGTTAGTTCACGCAAAAATAAAAAAATCGTGTTAATAATAACTCGTTCCAACCCCCTTGTTCATCTTCAGAATGCAAATGAATGTATTTTAGATCAGTGTTTCTCAACCACGTTTCTGGAGGACCACCAGCTCTGCACATTTTCTATGTCTCCTTAACCAAACACACCTGATTCAGATCACCAGCTCATTAGCAGAGACTGAAAGATCTGCAATGAGTGTGACCAAGAAGCCATACAAAACATGCAGTGCTG